GATTTCAGAGAGGAAGGGAGAGAGAGAGATAAAAACATCAATGGTGAAAAAAAAAAAATCATTGATTGGATCCCTCCTGCACGCTCCCTACAGGGGATCAAGCCCACAACCCAGGCATGTGCCCTGACCAGGAATTGAACCAGTAAATTCTTGGTTTTTGGGTCAGTGTTCAACCTTGAGCCACACCGGTCAGGCTATTCTTTTATTTTGATATAATTTCACCTTCCAGAAAAGTTACCAAAAAATTATAAAGTTGTACCTTTTCTCAGATTTCCTAACTTAATATTTCGCCTCATTGATTTCATCATTGACTTTCTCTTGATATATATTTTCTGAACAATTTGAAAATAATTTTCAGGTATCCTATCTTTTAACCATAAATATTTCAGTGTGAATTTCCTAAAAACAAACTGTATTTTTACATAATTATAGTAAATTTATCAAAGCCAGGCAATGTAACATTGATACAGGAATATTATCAAATCCGTAGTCTATATTCAAAATTTGCCAATATACTTAATAGCAATTTTTTTCTTGTCTTAGAATTACATCCTGTAATTAGATGTCATATTTCTTTAGCTTCTTTCAATCTTCAGTCTTTCTTCGTCTTTCATGACCTTGATATTTTTTAAAAGTAAAAGCCAGTTATTTTGTACAGTGTCCCTCAATTTAAATTTTTTTCTGATGTTTTCTCATGACTGGAGAGAGATTATACATTTTGATAAGAATACCATAGATGTTATATGCTCAGGACACCATAACAGGAAGCGCATACTAGATTGGTTTGTACCATTATTGGTGATGTTAACTTGGATTCTTTGGTTAAGGCTGTATTTGCTAGATTAATCCATTGTAAGGTCACTATTTTTGCCTTCATCATTACTAAGTAGTTTGTTGTCAGGTACTATGAAATTATAAAAATATCCTGTTCCTCCTCAAACTGACAACCCACCCATTAATTATTGTTAATTGTAATTTTTTCATTCAGAATTTCAGAATAATTTCAGGATTATTATTATGATAGGTGTAAAATGGTGATTTTCTAACTTCATCATTTCTTCTACAATACATCTATTACCTATTATTTAATTACAGGAATTCTACTTTCCATTCTCCCCTATTTATTTACCTATTCATTTATTAAGATCAGTATGAACTCAGATTCTTTATCCTAAAATATTCTACTGCTACCATTATTTATTTGGATCCTTGAATTGTTTCAGATTTGACCCATGGGAGTCACTTTATACAAGGTCCGGTGTCCTTCTGAAAAGAGTTCATTCTTTTTAAAGCCTTTTTTGCCTTCCGTCACAAGATGTTCCAGGGTGTCCTGTACTTTCCCTGTTCCATCCTAGGAAACTGACGTTTCTCCAAGAAGAAACCTGGTGCATTTTAGTTGGGAATGGTGTTTAGAAACCAAAGTCTGGGTATACCATATTTTACTAAATCACTGATTTTGAACTAGTTCTCACCCCCTCCACCCCCCCATTACATACTAGTACTTACAATGAACATTTAAGCATTTCCTTAGCACAGATGCCTGGGAGTGAAGTTGCTGACCAAAAGGAGGGGCACATCTTAAAGGCTTTCGATACAAGCTGCTAATGGCCCAGCAGAAAAATACTATTTCATGGGTATTATTTCAAAAGACATGTTCTACTAATTTCATTGAGAGAAATAATGTAGTGTTTTGTCTTTATCTAATTAGGAGAGTGGATATTCTAATGTTTATTTGTCATTATTTTTTTGTGGCATGTGTTGCTCATATCTAATACACACTTTTCCATGGCAGTATTCTTTTTTCATTATTTTATAAGAACTTTCCTTACAATAATTAAACTTTTTCATATATATTGCACATATTTTTTATAGTTATTTCCTTTTTAATTTTGTAAGTGACAATTTTTTAATTTGTTTCACCATTTGTGATTTCTCTCTTTAGTTTCATATAATACATTTATTTATTTGCTTTTAACATTTAAATCTTCAATAAGTCAGGAGTTTTTTACTTTGGTGTAAAGTGTGAGGTAGGGATCTGCCTTCATTTTTATTTGGCAAACAATGAGTCAATATTTTAAAAAGCCATATTTCTTTTGCCAATTTTATATATCATCTTTGTCATAAATTAAATTTTTATATACACAGGGATTTGTTTTTAGATTTTCAGTTCCATCAAATTTATCAGTCTGTTTATCCTTAAGCCAGTACTATACTTTTAAAATTATTATAGTGCTAGAGTTTAATATCTGATTAGGCAAGACTTTCTCTTCTCTCCATTATGCTTCTTTTTCAAAATTTCCTGGCTACTCTTGTAAGGGTCATATTTCCAAATAAATTTATGAATCACACAGTCAAGATTTTAAAAATCAAGTGGTATTTTGATTTTTTTCCTTAATGTATAGATAATTTGGGGAGCTATTTTTCTTAGTAGGTTTAACACCACTCCAACAAAACACTGCTTACAACTCATTAATTAGGCTGCTAGTTTATTTAATAATACTATTCCATTTAGAAGGGCTTTAAGAATTCATTGAGATCTTAGTAGAGGATGGACTAATTTGAATTCAATGACAGGCCATTTAAAGAGAATTTTCTACTTAAAATAATAAGCCTGGAATTTCCTATGGCTGTTTTTGTTCCTAGAATGTAGAAAACCAAATTGCTCAGCAGTATCTGGCTACATTTAGCATCTGTGAGTCCTCTTCAGGGCACAGTGTTAGGCAATCCTGGTTGATGCTGGAAACAATAAGCAAAATAGAAGCCAGTTTCTTAGTGTGAAAATTCATTTGAAAGGACTTAAAGTAGCAGTTAAATTCCTTTGTTAGTTATGTTAGTCATCAATGGATGCAAAAAATTAACAATGCACAAAATGTAAAGAAAACAACAACAACAACAACAACAACAACAAAAACAAAGACCAATTGTGGAAAAAATAGGGTAGGAAAACATTTCTGGATAGAATTGTCTTTACTCATTGACAAGTGGACACAGCAAAAAGGTAAGACTAGGAGTTAAACTTTCACAATGAATTTTTAAGTATAGTTCATAGATAACCTACATACCCTTAAGGGAAGGCAGGTGGCAAGGGGGAAGATTTTTTGCTCTTCTATAATTTTGCTCCTCACCATTTACTTTAGATCCAGCCCTGTGCATCATATTAAACTTGAGAGGAAAATGTCTTCTTGCAAATAAAAAAAAAAAACCCTCTTAGGTGAAAATCCAAGATTGCTTATTTCCACTAGAAGGTACTTGTGGTATGAGTGGGATATGTAGATTTTTCTTTTAAATAATACGAGTAAAGTGAGCCAGCTGACTAGTAGTTAGAAGCTGTTGTGGGCCTGCAGAATGGTACACAGAAGCTAGGAGCTAGAGAGACAATGGCAGAAAAGTTTAATTAAAATTCTGCTAGAGAGCCAGGAGATGAAGACTGGCAGAGGTCCCAGCATTTTATTTTTTTTATTTTTTTTAATGGCAGGCAAGAAAATTGTTCATAAATAATAAAACACAGAAATGGGTCCTGGCCATGTTCTCAGTGGTTAGAGCATCAGCATGCAAACTGAAGGGTCATGGTATGACTCCCCATCAAGGGCACATACCCGGGTTGCAGGTTTGATGCCCAGTCTGGTTGTGGTATGTACAGGAGGCGACCAATTGATGTGCCTCTCGCACATCAATGTTTCTCTCTCTCTCTCTCTCTCTCTCTCTCTCTCTCTCTCTCTCTCTCTCTCACTTCCCCTCTCTCAGTCACTCCCTTCCACTCTCTTGGCCCTATTTTAATTGGTTTGTTTCTGTTGTTGCTGAGTTGGGAAATAACTTCCTGAATTTATTCATCTTAAAAGAAGAAAAACAAAACAAAACAATGGTATGTGACAAGGTAAACAAAAATCTTGCAACCCTGATTAAAATATTATAAATTTAATTAAGTGACAAGCTTTGGAAACATGAAGGACTTGAATTCACATTAGTTTTCAGATTTCTTAGAAGTCCAATAAAATATTCAAATTTTAGATGTCTAAAGACATGCTTACATAAGTACAAATGCTATGCAGGTAATATGAAACTTTGATCTTTTCGCATTACCTGCTATGACACAGAAGAGTAAAAATAGTACTAAACAAATGAAAAGTAAACCACAAACATTGTTTTCATATTTTATACGAGGAAAATAATTTCAAGTGCCCTCGTATAGGATATATTCTATTACTTAATTATTTTAATAGTATTTAAATTTAAAGCAAATGTATTTAATAGTATTTAAATTTAAAGCAAATGTATTTTTAAAGTCTACTTTTCAAATAACAATCTTTTCAAAGAACTTATCATTTCACCCGATTTTCATGCCAGCTTTCCCTCTTATGTTTACTTTAAACAGCTTTACTTGCTTGTTAGGGCAGAGGGCTACTTGCCAAGTCAGAAAATGTGTCTTCAACAAATTAGTTTTTAAAAATCAAATGGTTGAAACACCTTGCCTGGATGTTTAGAAGTAGAACATTATTTTGCCACCAAACAGTTCTCTCTCCTTGTACACTCTGGACTCATACTTACATGAGTGTATTGTGGCACAAATGTGTTCTCTCTTAAAATTACAACTAAAGCGACTGTGATGGCAAAGCCCTAAAGTGCTGCAAATTATGATGATTGGCTTCAGTATAGTTTTGTTCACTTCATGAATAGGGGCAGTCACACTTTTGTTCCAACAGCTCAGAAATCGTTTCTTCTCTTCAAGTGTGTAGTTATCTCCAAGGAAGCATGGAGAAAGGTAAGCCTAGAAATAAAACCTGACTTCCGTTACTGAACATTTCCCTTATTTGACTTCCAGGAGAAAATGCTCAAAAACAACTTTGAAGGAATTCAGTTCTCACATATCCATCTGGTATTTTCAGGACATCCCATTTTCAATATTGCTACAAAATGTATATTGTTAAGCAAAAACGTTGCAAAGTCAAGTTTCATGACATAATTTCACATGAATTATTTCAATTTGTTTTGTGTATTTGCAGGCAACTCAAAGAGGAAAATCAAAACTCCTAATTCAAATGCAGCATCAAATTCAACAAATGAAACAATCTATGAAGCTGAGGATATAATTGAGGAAAAAACAATGGATACAACACAAATCAACATCGTGTATTATTAAAAATCCTGTGTGATAAAAGCTTACTGGAGAGATGGAACAGTAAAAATAAAGTGCATTTTAAATACTTCGTAATAGTACTTTTCAAGAATTCGCCACTCACAGAGCTAAAGATAGCTGCATTTGTTATCAATCTTTTTATTGAACACCCACTAAGGTTTTGATAGATTTTCATGTATATAAGTTTACTTTTATTTGCTAATTAAAGTGTGCATATACAAAACTAGAGGCCCGGTGCATGAGAATTCATGCACTGGGGGAGAGGGGTCCTCATAATGGCCTGCCACCTCTCACAGTCCAGGAGCTCTCAGGGGATGCCCTACTAACGTCTTAGGCCTTCTCCCCACAGCACTGCCCGTCCCACGCTGCTGGCTCTTGGCCGCTGTGGCTTTGTCTGGAAGGACCTCCAGAAGACTTCCAGTCTATCTGGTCTAATTAGCACATTACCTTGTTATTAGTATAGATTATGCTAGTACTTTAGGCAAAGTTAAATAATTTATCAATAACACAGATAAGCAAGCCTATCTCAGTGAGGAACAAGAAATATTAGCAGCATTTCAAAATTTAGGTACCTAGAGGCAGTCACTTTTTTTTTTTTTTTTTTAAGAGATGGTACAGATGGGTAGATTTTGGGAGAATGGTCTTATAAACTAGAGGTGGAATGCTCTTAAGTCTCTTAAAAGTCAACCCACACCTTTTTTTAGAAGACTTGCTGGCACCCTCACCATGTATTTATTGCCTTTATAAAAGCTAACATTCAAAACCAAAATATATTACAATGTATAATCTACATAGTACATGTTTCCTGCATACTGAAGGATAGCCATGACAAAAATCCTTCCCTGGGAGAGTTCCTGGATCTACCGAATGCCACTTAGCTAGAAATAAAACTAAAGTTCCTGTAAATTATCATTGTCTTCAAAGGTTTTTTCCTTACGTGTGATTTCTATTGTAAGAACACAGAGTTGGTTTTGTAATAGAATTCAATAGGAAAAAGGAATTGTTTTAAGCTGGCTCTGCTGAACACACACATCTCTGTGTTGCATAAAGTGGTGAATACAGCTTCTGTGTTCTGATAGGAAAAAACGAATGCCTTATTGCTCTCAGGGATAGAACTTTTGATCATTAGGTGGCCAAAATTTCTACCAAGAACAAGGGAGGGGGATCTTCTCAGCGAGTGCTGTCCAGTGGGAGTTTCTGAGATGTGAATATCCTGTCTATATGTGCATGGTATGGCAGGGTAGCCACTCTACACAATGTGGCTACTGAGCACTTGAAATGTAACCAATGCAACAGAGCACACTTTTATTTTTTTTAGTTAATTTAAATTTAAATAGCCACATGTGGTTATGCTGACATCACAGTTCCAGATGTAACACTTACTGCCCGTTACATTTTATGTTCCAAAAAAGCAGTTTGGTCAACGTTTTTTTATTTTTTAAAATATTGTATTGATTTTTTTACAGAGAAGAAGGGAGAGGGATAGAGAGTTAGAAACATGGATGAGAGAGAAACATCGATCAGCTGCCTCCTGCACACCCCCCACTGGGGATGTGCCCACAACCAAGGTACATGCCCTTGATTGGAATTGAACCTGGGACCCTTCAGTCTGCAGGCCGATGCTCTATCCACTGAGCCAAACTGGTTAGGGCAGTCAATGTTTGATACTGAGATTGCTTAAAAGAGTGCATGGGAAGTTTGGAAGTTAAAACACTACATTATAAAAATTCTCATGTGGTCACAAAAGCCAAGAATTTTCATTTATTTTTGTGAAAGCATGTATAGCATTTGTGATACTTCTTGTTCTTTTATCTAGCTTGATTAAAAAAAAAATCCCAGAAAATCAGCTACCTTAATACACACGTTAATAATTATATTACTAATTAGATGCTGCCTCTGGTGAAAATGAAAGTAGATTAAGTTTAGTGAAGGCACTGGTACAGTGCTACTTTTCTGCTCAAGGGGAAGGACACAGGCCATACATGGAAGAAGTAGGAAACTTAAGACTCAGGGTCAGCAAAATGCTCATGGTCCCCAGACAACTGGCCTGCGGGACAGGCATGGGCTGGGCGTGGCTGGGTGCCTCATGGGTGTGCTCTGGGGGAGACATCCCAGCCTGGAGCACTGCGTATTTTCAGAGGAGTTGGGAGAAGACAGATGAGGTCAGAAGACCCTGAGCTTCACAAGTGGGATTGGTGTTATGCAGGCCTAAGAAACCTGTTCTTGAATGCCAGTGCCCAAGAGGCTTGAATCCCAGCACTAGGACCAGAGAGAGTTCCGGAAGCACTTCCTGTCTAGCCAGGTAACCGGAGGGGGCACCACGGGGCTCATCCAGTGAACCAACAGGTTGTCTCTGTCACTTTGAAGCAGTTGTGCTTCACAGATTGAGACAAAGTATTAAAGGCAAGAAGCCTTACCGACAACAGTGGGGTGATGGCCAGAGGGAAAAGTTGGAGGTATCTGGAGGTGGGTAAAGGGGGAGAATGGGAACGGAAAGAGACTTTGTTTGGGGTGGAGGCCATTCATTGCAGCGTGATGATGTTTTGTTGTGTTGTACACTTGAAACGTATGGTTTTGTGAAACAATGTCACATCTATAGGTTGTTTTTTGTTTTTTTTGTTTTTTAAAAAAGCAGGAAGGCTTATCAAATTACAGCACAGCCAGGACATCGAAAAGTACATTTTAAATTATTTATTTGGACATAACAAATACTAACATAGCACAGAATTTGTCAGTCAAAAATAATCTAAAATAAAATTAAAAACAAAACACATTTCATAGTACGTACATATGCATGTAATTCTGGGGACAGGTCTGATAACACTGTAACTTTATGTGTTTTTAGGAGACAAGTCACTGTATGATTTTCGGTAATAACCAGATCTTAGAAAAGCGGGACTAGAAGAGTACAAATAATAGGACATAAAGATTGTAATCATTCTTATGTGGCCTTCTAATGAGAGCAACTTCATCTTTTAAAACTGGAGGAATTACAAACCAAACCCCAGTAAGTCATTTCTTTCCTTAAAATTCTGTCATTGTGCCTCACTGCTTACCCATTTGAGTCCAAACTCTCTAAACATGGAACCTAAGACCTCCTCCTTTTGTTCCTGAGAACCTAGAATGGGAGTCTGAAATCTTACCTCTTCCTGCCTCCCATATTGCTTGTTATTTCTGACACACAGACCCCCCAGCCTCCATTGTGGTCTTTGTTCACAATGCCCACTGGTCAGGAACTACCATACCCACCAGCCTCATCCTCAATCAAAATGCACCTCAAGCACAACTTTCCCTAAGGAGCCTCTTCCAACTTCTCCAGAGCAGGTGAATACCCCTATGTGCTTCTCTAACCCACGTTCCAGTCAATTACTGCACTAAAGTGATGTTTCTCCTACCGACTGAATGACGAATGTCTTCAGGGAAGCAAGCGAGTCTTTTTAATCTGTGTATCCCCAGTGCTTAGCAGAGTGTTTGCCGTGCTAGGCGTGCAATTAATGTTTGTTGAAGAAAGGCCACGATGGCATTTTTATGAACACTATTAACAACTCTTCAACCTAGTTTAACTGAAGGTGACATTGGGCTCTATAATTTGAGAGTGGTAAGAATAGATACGTACAGTGAGTATTAAATGTGAAGCACTGGGAAGTCCTCAGAGAGATTTTATTCAACAGATGATCCAGAGAAAAGAGGGAATTGTGTGGGGAGTGGGTCTATCACCCCAAAAGGAGTAGCCTCAAAATGTTCAGATAATGTGATTACTGATACAGGTCTAAACAAAAATTCTGTCTGCATCTGGCAAAAATGGTGCAGTGGATGGTGAGGAAGTGAACCAAATATCAATTTTCTGCTTATAGAAGTTGAGTGTGCTTAACAGTAGAATTAATAAATTTGACCTTTATCATTGCAGACTGCTACCTGCTCCTTTGTAATAATTTCTAAAATGAACAGTATCAGTTGGATTTTACTAAAATATCAATACTCATACATTAAGGACTGAAAGGGATCTTAGAGATAATTTGTTACAATGTTTTATAGATGAAAAACGCCAAGGCCAAGAGAAATTAAAATGACTCTGAAGAAGGTCACATAGGTAGTTACGAAAGTCCAGGACTTTTTGGATTTTTTAACTATAAAATTGACGTTCCTTCCTGCTAATACTGCCGGAGAAGAAATTTCACTATTTCTCCCCTAAAATATACTACTGAGATTTGCATCGAAGACCAATAACAATAATATGACGTTAGAAGAAAATTACTTTAGTAAAAATAAATTTATTTAATTCAGCAGAGGTGTTTCATAAACTATTCTCATATGATAGAAAATTTACTTAAGAATAATTCCAAGATTGTTTCTGGGGGAAAATAATTACCATTAAAATCTTTTAATTTGTGTACTAGAGTTAATGAGAGCTAAATTTTATATAACTCTCTAAACCATTATTAATCATGTCACCATGCAGAAACAAATTTAATGAGCTAAATTATAATCTTTACAATTAACAGAATGAAACTTACGAATAACCAAATTAACTCTATTCACTAAAATTATCTTATTTAATCACATTACACACTTGAGAGGATGAGACCATCCTTTTGCATACAGATCTTTCCAATCATTTTAAAAAAGATTTTTGTACTTAGTTGGTCATTTTGATAGACAAAGAACTATTGATATATTTTCAGAAAATACAGTTTTCAAAAATACATAAAGTACAGTCAAAGAAAAATAAGCCCTTAAAAACCTAACTCTGTGTTTCTCTCCAAACAGCTGACTGAACTTAATTTAAACAAGATAATTTCTTTTCATGGTCATATGACTAATTAGGTATGGAAAAGCTGTCAGTGGCTGTAATGCGATAGGACAGAGATGTGGCTGCAGCATCCCTAGAAGCTGAGCATGGTAAGCATATGGCCACAGGAGTTGTGAGGCTCCGAGGCTTACTGAAGTCATGCCAGGTAGGGGTGTATGGTGAAGAAAGAATCAGTACACCTCTCCAGCCAGTGAGGTTACGTGTACTTACCTGATTTCCCCATAATGAGTTCATCTGTAGCCTTGTCTGTGGGTTACCAATTTTAAAACTCATAACTGCACTGCACTGAGGTACCTGCAGTCTTTGGTGCTGTGCATTGGGAATGATTTGACTCCTGATGCTGCTACAATAAAAGTAAGTTATTGGGCATAAGGGATACCCAAATGTTAAGCAAAATCACTAACACTGATCATTGTGACAGTTCAAATGTAAGAAACATATCGACTAATATTGTTGGAAAATGCTTACCCATATAAAATTCCCATTATATAAAGACTTTCATGATGCAACTCCCTGGTTCTTAAATTTTAAAAAGTACAGAATAAAATTCTTAATCCTAAATTTTTATCACTGCTCCTGAGGTTTATGACTGAAGTAAAAGAAAGAAACACCCCAAACTAGTCATTTATGAAAGCATAAATTCAGTGTGAAACCTGCTTCAAAACTACAAATTATTTCAGACAAATAAATATATATGTTCACATTTATAAAAATTTTCCACATAGAAACAAGTTTCATAAAATTTACATATTGGAAACAATAAAAATCAGTTATAATGAAGATTTTGCTGTCATCTCCTAAATAAAAGTTCTGTTCTTGAGGTATCACTCTGAGACATGCCAATATGGCACATTTGTAAAACAACCTAGGAGTCTATTCTAAAAATCCTGCCCAACACAACATTATCTCTACGAGACTAATAGGCTGAACCAGGCTTGTGTTTTTAAACAGGAAGAAATATTTTAATTGTTATAAAAATAAGGAGGCAGGTACTAGAAATGCTGCATGTCGTAATACAATGAAACTTAGTTATAAATACAATATTTTCATTATCCTCTTCCATTCATTTAAAAAGTTCTAGTCAAGGTCTATAAATCAGCTTCATTTTCTATGACATCCAAAAAAAACCCAGAGATTAAAAACCAGTAGTGAAGAATATTACTATCTTCATACATTATCATAGGATATAAAAAGCTATTAAATTTATCAGTGTCAAGAGCAAAGCATTATCCCCTATCTCACTGCATCACTGGAAGGCAGACACTTGATTCGGCAATACTTATTAACTGCTAGGTAGATTACCAGTGTTGACTGTAGTACAATCAACTTATAAAGTAAAATACTAGCCAAACATAGAGACACGGATACGAAAACTGATGTGTTTGTATGTACAGATATCCATATTGGGGGCACAGCTATCAAGTAATAAGACTGATTCGTACTTTTAAATCATAGTATGTTAAAAATATATTGCTAGAGGATAATGGTCCCATATGTGGAAAAAATGTCCATATGAACAAGCCAGTAATTTATTGCAAAGCATAATTATATAGCAAATTCCAAAGAAGGTGAAATCATTTTCAAAATCAAAATTTTAAAGTTAATGGTGTAAGCCATAGTCTGTTACTTTTTGGAGATTTCAGAAATAGTAGGGGTGGAAGAATGCTTTTCCTTTTTTCTCTTCTTTTTTTCTTTTTTGTGATGTTTCCCCTTTTTTGACTTATTCTTTTTTTCTTTTTTCTTTTCTTTCTTCTGATATTTTTGTTTCTTTGGTTTTGAGGTGTCCTCTTCAGCAGAACTGGATGAATAAGACCTATCGGCAATAATGTATACTGATTGATAATTGCATTTATAGCTGATAGGTAAATTTAAATGGGATTTTATCTGCCTTAAATCCTTCTTGGAGCAAGGTGAGAGTATAAACAAAAAAACTCAAAATGTGCTGTATATATTTGGATCCTCTTAAAATGCTGAATTTAGAAGTTTTGCTACTTGGTCACTGAAACGGACAAAACAAATAACTCTATTCTGCTCAACTCTAGTTACATAAGTTTCATATCCTATATAATCCTATATAATAAAAGCCTAATATGCTAAGTGTCTGGTCGTCTGGTTGGCCATTCAACCAACCAAAGTGTAATATGATAATGATATGCTAAAGCCGCTCAACCACTCGCTATGATGTGCCCTGACAACTAGGGGGCAGACAGTTGACTGGTCAACCAATTTAGTATTACAGTAATCTTAGAAAAATAAAGTATTATAATAAATCATTATAATTAACTTTTGACGTGCATTGACCACCAGGGGGCAGATAGTCGACTGGTTGACTAGTTGCTATGCTGTGTACTGACCACTAAGGGGCAGATGCTCTGATTGGTAAGTTAGTTTGCTGCTGGGGTGCAGCTGATCAGGACTGAGCGAGATGGTCCAGACACCCTGGAGCCCTCCTGTGGTCCCTCCTTGGCTGGCCAACCTCCTGCATCCCTCCCCAGCCCCAACTGTGTACTAGTGGGGTTCCTCAGCCTGGCCTGTGCCCTCTTGCAATCTGGGACCCTTTGGGGGATGTCCGAGAGCCAGTTTCAGCCCAATCCCACAGGCATGAATTTGTGCACTGAGCCTCTAGTAATTATATATAGTTTTATAAAGTTACATAAAGTTTTATGAATTATAAATTTGGTGAGCATGAAAACTATTTTTCTGATTTTCAGTTTTTCATCCTATTGTACCCTTCAAAAATTTATAAGGCAAAGTTGCATTTATCAAGCCTTATTATATATAATACACTAGAGGCTTGGTGCACAAAACTTGGGCATGGGTGTGGTCCCTAAGCCTCGCCAGCGATTGAAGTGCAAGTGTCTGGTATGGAAGGGCAGGTCCCAGCTGACCTCTGGGCTGTGAGCAGCACCTGGGTCCCCAGACCCCCATGTGTTCCCCTCTGCCTGAGTTATTGGGCCCCTGCCTGGCTCCCTCAGTAACCGGGAGCCAGGCGGTGGCCCCGCCCCACAGTGCTGCCACTGGTCACTGTCAGAGGGATAATGGGTGGGGCGATTGGGCCCTGTCAGACCCGTCTTGACCTGGCACCACCCGCTTACCTGCTCGACCATCCCACCACAGTCCTGCTTTCGTTGGGGCCCACTAGGGCTGACAGCACCTCCACTGCCATCTGCTGTCAGCACTGCATCGCTGACGCCAACCAAGTTTCGCACCACCCCCTGATGGTCAGCGCACATCATAGCAAGTGGTTGAGGAGACAATTTGCATATTAGGTTTTTATTATATAGGATAACTTGTATTGCAATAAGTTGTTAGCATAGTCCATCAATCTTCAACCTTTTTCATCTCATGGCAAAAATACTAATTTGTAAAATTCTGCAGTACTCCAAAAATATATATTACTTTTGCTGATCTGACAAAAAAATTGGTATAATTTTGATTCATTCACACCAGATGACTATTGTTCTGATGATTGTTGTCATTTTTTTAATTGACTATCTAAGGGAAAAAGGTAAGTGCCTCTGACTATATGGTCAAATGTTACATGTTTTAGAAATTCTTGTGGCACTCCAATAGAAAATTGCTGGCATATTCTTTTAAAAGAGCACAAAGAATGTGATTATATAGAAAGGGTTATAATTATATAATGCAGTATAAATGGATAAAACTGAAAATAAGCAAAATAAAAGTATTTTTGTCCTTTCTTTTTTCTCCCTTTATTTTATCATTATTTTTTTCCATTACCATTTATCCCCCATATGCCCTCTTCCCCTTCCACCCATTCACGTCCCCCTCGCAGTCACTGCACTGTTGTCCATGTCCATGAGTTCTTTCTTTTTCTTTTTGCTCAATCCCTTTAGTGTTAATTCTTTTGATTTTTCAAGTTAAAGTACTTGATTTTTCTAGATGTTGTGATAACAGATACACATTTTTATTAAAAATAATTTTCACAAGATATAGAAAAGATGCTTTTAAATGAATATTCTATATAAATTAATTACGCTGATTTATTATTATAATTTTTCTAATATTTCTATAATACTAAATTGGGGAAAACTATAGAATCCTTCCTCTAATATTAAAGAACCCCTCCCCCCCAAAAAAAAAACACACCAAAAAAACAGAAAGCAGAGAAGTCATTTCTTAAGACCTTATATGAAGTGTGTAACAACCCACCCTTACCCAAACCCCAAATATGTATGACTATACAGGAATTGTGGCCAGCAGTGCCAGTCTTGGTCAGAATGGTTACCTGAGTCTTGGGCAACCCTGGGAAGCCCTGGGCAGCTGGGAAGCAGCCACCTGAGGCTTGCCTGCAACTCGGACCAGCCCTGGGCAGCTACCATCTCCTGCGGGGCTGAGGAGACTGGGTGCAACCATCTTGGGGCTGAGGGTGGCATCTTTGAGGGCATGGTAATCAATTAGCATATTCTCTCCTTATTGGTTGTGGATGTTACCATCTTTGAGGGTGAGACAGTCAATTAGCATATTCCTGCCTTATTGGCTGTGAGTGCATGCCATCTTTGTGATGGTGTGAGGGTCAATTAGCATATTTCCTCTTTATTAGATAGGATTTGCTCCAAGAAGAATATTTAAGAATATCTAAGTGCTGACTTTATTTTTGATTCCTGAATTGAAGGACTTTTGTTATTTCACTGAGACAATTGAATACCTAACTTCTACTAAGAAAAAAATGATAAATAAACTGGATTATACAGGGGGAAAAAATCTATAATCCATCCTAGATTCAGTCCTACTTTAAGAAAATGATGTTAAAAAATACCTTTTCCTTTTTTTTTTCAACTTGATTTTCTCTTTGCTTTTTGCTTTTTTCTTCTCCTCTTCTTCATTTATTCCTGTGTGTTGAGGGGAAAGAATCAGGTCACCATGGGTCCAAATACTAATATATTATGTACACATTTTAAAATTTTGGTTGTTGGCAGATAATTTTCACTGATTAGGATACTGAACTTTTCTTGTAACAATTTCCCCTTTCTTAATTTTTTTAAATTGAAGTATAATAGACATAACACTATATTACCTTCAGGTGTACAACACACCAATTCAAAAATTTAATATATTGCAAAACAATCACCACAATAAATCTAGCTCACATCTGTCACCATATATAATTACAAAAATAGTGTTTTTCTTTGATCAAAACATTTAAGATCTAATCTCTTACCAATTTTCAAATGTACAATACAGTAATAAACTACAGTCACTATGCTGTATGTTACATCCACATGACTTAACTTATTCTATAACTGGAAATTTGTACCTTTTGACCCCCTTCAGCTATTTTGCCCCCACTCCCAACCCTGCCTCTGACAATTATCAATCTGTTCTATCTATTCTATGAACTTAGTTTTTTTTTTCTTTATATCACACATACAAGTGAGATCCATACTGTATTTGTATTTCTCTCTCTAACTTATTTTGCTTATCATAATGCCTGCATTGATTATTTTCATTATATGCCTTTTATAAAAATTTCAAATATTATTATGTATATTGAGTAACAAATTTTAGTATTTTAATGTTAATTCCTATAGAAAATCAATTTTTGGTGGGCACCATTCCAGGGCTTAAAAAACAAATGATACAATCAAGTATAGTTAAAAAAAATTTTTTTACAAACAAAATTGGGATTGTGGGGTCCTAGGATCATGGGACAATAACAATAGATTTAATATTTATGCAATTGGTATTCTAGATGGATAGAATACATACTGTTAGGAGAGAGTATAGGGACAGAAAGGAAGGTAAGGTTTCCACATTTTACTTAAATTGGTAAAGTGACAATATAAGTAGACTGATAAATTATCTATATCCAATACCTGGAGTAACCACTAAAAATACTATACAAAATACCACAGAAAAATTTCAAAACACCAAGATATATTCAAGGACACTAGCTGAACCAACATGGAATTCTATGTGTTCAAATGATACTAAATAAATCAAAGTACTATAGATAGTTCTAAAAAAATGTTCAAGTAACCCTCAGGAAGGCAGGGAAAATAAAACAAAAATGCAAAACAGAACATGTAGAGAACAAATAATAAAATAACAATTATCCCCAACATATAAATAATTACATTAAATTTTAAAAAGGATACCAGTTAAAAAAAATTGACAGAGTGGATTGAAAAATATGACCCATCTACAAAATGTCTATAAGACTTTTATCTACAATTTGTGCACATTCATTAGAAGAAATACTTAAATATCACTATTTGCCCTTAATAGAAGTGTCAACCAAATTCACCATCAACAATGACAGATGGAAACACATACATGCTATTGGTGTAGCAGGGAGGGAAATTTAAGATTTTGCATAATAATTTATTAGAAAATGATACAACCAACCTTTGGAATACAAAATAGAAGGCAAGAAGGTCTTGTGTACTTTACCACTTAAATTTTGTAATAATCAGCAACAGTGGTGGCCTCTTATGAAACATACAGGAGTTGGAGGTTAGGATCCAGTGCTTACAAATATACTTGGGATAGAATGGAAGATCCATCCTAATAGTACAAGCTGGCTCAGCTACTAGATCTTTGTTTGTATATCTGTCACCAGCCACTTTTAAATACCTGAGTAGGCAGTTCCAAACCTAGACCCATTAATCTAAATTTCTCATTCCCTTTTGTATCTTCTAATTACTTAACAATTATCTTTTAGAGCTGAACCAAATATAAGCTTTCTCCAATTACTGTGTGAATTATTTAAGCCTTATCTTAATAAAGCTTGAAGCCACTGTTGTAAGTCATTCATCTGAATCTGATTTCAGCAGGATAGGAGAGACACAATTATGGCAAAATGCAAATACCTATGTAGTTTTCAGTGTCAACCATCTTTAAATAAAATCAAGTATAAATTTAACACAAAACTCTCTTAAACCAAACCAAACCAAACCAAACCAAACCAAACCAAACCAAAAAAGGCCCAAAACCAAAATTTGTCAAAATACAACATTACTTTTCTGTACTAAATAAAAGGATATAAAAATATTAAGGGATGAAATATGAGAAGAGAACTATTTCCTAATACTAGGCAAACTGCTGATTAATATTAAATAACACTAGGTTAAACAGAGTTTGGAAAATCCAAGTCCTATTCTCACATTCTTTAATTCCATCAAAATTGTATTTGTCATTTAGGATTATATTTGTTTTAAATGAAAGATATTGTATTAAGATATTAAATGCATTGGAAAATATGCACTAAAATAGAAGCAAATTTCTATAATAATAAAAGTATAATATAATATGCTAATTAGACTGGACAGCTGGATGACCCCCGGATGAAGCTGGGGCTTCGAGGGCCAAACCCTTTGCACAAATTTTGTGCATTGAGCTTCTAGTATATATAGAGAGAGGCAAAATAGAATTTATATAAAAATAAGTTTTGAGTCTTGTTTTTTAGGTAACATTTCTCTCTCTTCTTTTTCATGACTATTTCATAAAAGCAGAACAACTATTTACAGAGAACTCTTTGCTTTACTCTCATATTAAAACAAACACACAAAAAGCTTACCACATTCAAGATAGTTGGTACAAGAGATCTCCACCTCCAAGGACCAAAGGAAGGGTGATGTGGAATGAGAACTCACCCTCAACAAGCCAGTGTTTCACCCTCACCCCTTTAGAGATCTGAGCCATATCAGAAAGTTATCAATGGAAATAAGCACCACGATCTAAATAAGCACCCTCTTCCTCCATGTACTGAGGAACCAACCTATGGTTTATTTGGGTAGGGGTGGGTCACGGGCAAGTATTAGGTGACCATGAAATAAATATGGATCCCTTCACTAGTACTTTATTATTGGAATCTGCATGATATACTAGTACTGAAATGAGCACTGTTCTAAGTGGAAGTGACGAGAGTTGGAAACAAGTTCTGAGCCTTTAAGCAACCACGGGCAAGCGTCTTTTTAAGGAGATGGGGGAAAAAAAGCTAGATGGAGTCCATCATTCTCAATGTGAGGTCGGAGGAAAGCTGATTCTAATAAGGAAGTTTTACCAAACTACTTCTTATCCTGGAGGTAATATGTTAATCCCTTCCCCTTCCTCCTAGGATGGATTTGTCTCAGGTCTTCTGATTAAACAATCACCTCTAGAGTAAGTCACCCCACTATTTATGTTCTTTATCTTTCCAGACTGATGTGATAAGGGAAAAAATGGTTTAGAATCAAGAACCTGAATGGTCTTTTAAGTTTGGAGAGCAGCATGTTAGAATGAAGAGTACAGGACTAGCAGTCAGAAAACCTGGATCATGGTTCTGGCTTTATTGTGACCAGTTAGTGATTTAGGGAAGTTACTTATTCTTAATTTATTTTTCTTTAAAACTAGGTGTTTACACTATGTGTTCTCTAAGATTCTTCCTAATTCTAAAAGTTTATGCATTTATTTTTTAAAAAATAGGGTAGTGTAGATCAAGCATGTCAAACTCAAAGGCTAACACAGGCCAAATAATCTAGGCCTGGGGTCCGTGGGCCACAAGTCTGACATGCTTGGTGTAGATAGATGGGGTAGAAACTGTACTTGTGGAATGGACAAGCTTAGGCTTTCTCTCCTAGAAGCTTCTGCTCTATTCCTAGGTGACCTGGCTGCTCTCTGTGCCTGGGATCTCCCTGCACCAACATCCCAGGTATTCCCTTCTTCTCTCTTCTATTTCCCATGTTCCATGCATTCCTTTTTTGGGTCTACTCCCTTATTTTGACAGATAACCACCTCCTGGGGTCCTTGGAGGTGGAGATCTCTTGTACCAACTATCTTGAATGTGGTTATCTGTCAAAATAAGGGAGTATGTGAGAGGCATATTTTTTTGAAACTTTGAATGCCTGACAATACTTTCACTCTACTTTTATACTTGGTTGATAATTAAGTTAGGTGTATCATTCTAATATGGATATAATTTTCCTTAAAAAATATGAAAGCATTATCTACATCTACTAGCTTACAAGTATTGCTTTAGAGAAGTAGAAAGCCTGATTCTTGACCTATGACCAGTTTTGGCCCTGGCTCCAAAAAGTTTGAATTATGTTCTCCTTGTTTCTTATAAGTTTCAAAATGGTGTGCCTCTAAGTGGGTCTATTTTTTGAGACTGAATGTGTGGGTCTATTTTTAGTACTGTGTTTGGTACTTATTGAATCTTTTCATCTGGAAACTAATGTCCTTCAGTTCTTGGAAATATTTTCTGTTTTCTCTTTCTGGGACTCATTAGAATAAAATATTTCCTAGATATATCCTTTAGTTGTCTTATTTTTTTCTCATTACATCATCTTTATCTTCTCGCTTTATCACATTTTATGCCTGCTTCTTTTTCAATTTTTAAAAGTTCTTTGGTTGTTTTTGTCCATGAAACTGGATATTAATTATTCCTGTTAAGTTTTCTTCTACCTTCATAGAATGGATACTTCAAGTTGATGTTTTTGTTTGTTGGATTTGTTATTTTTATTTTATGCTGGAGTCTTTCCTCAGAAATGTAGTGCTCCTTGATTGTCTAAAAAGCTGACTGGAAGCTTTCAGCAAGCAAAGTTTGGAAACCTGGATTTCCTGGTAATCTGGCTAGGGCCATGTCCTTGAAGAATTCGAGATGTCAGTAACGTTATTACTTTCCTCTTAGATTAGGCAGAGTTCTCAGGCAAGAATCTTCAAACCTTATGTCTGGGAACAAAACAGGTGAAGATGGCTGAAAGATTCTCACCATTCAGTACCTAACCCTTAGCTTATGTTTCCCTCTGTGTTTGGGCTACCCCTGTTTAAGGACCTTGTCTTATGTTGTCTATAAAACAGACCTACAAGTCTGTGAGGTGATAGAGGAAAGCCATCCAGCTTCACAGAGCAGAGAAGGGAATTGAGTATCTAACTGCTTCAGATTTGTAACCAACCCTCTGTTTTTAGCCTTATATAATTCCTCAGTTACAAAGGTACCTCATTAGCAAGTTTTGGGAGGATTTGAAGTGTGTGTCAGCTTACTTCTCAGCTTTTCACACTGTTATAGGTTTCATCTTTCTCTGTCATCACTAATACACCTGCTTGTCAGCAAAATGTTGTTACTACTGCTTCCTATCCCAATTTCTTTGTCCTTGTCAATTTCCTTTACGTACTATCATTTCAGTGATGCTTCAGTAGGGAACAAATGTAAGTGTGTGTATTCAAGGGCTGTCTTTACCCTGCAGCTGTACATACTCATATGTAATGTCCCTCTCATTTGCCCTCTTTGCCTTCTCACTTGCCCCACTACCCTGGGGCATTTGATATCTTCACTTACTTTCATTGGATATACTAGTAATATGGAAAGCTGAAAAATTTAAAAAGTGTTTGTTGTTATCTGATGATCTAAAATGAGTTTAACTTTTTGTATTTCTCTCATCCCATGCCTAAATCCATATTCAAATAAACTGCATTTTGCTATCTTATTTCACAAAGCATTCTCACATACAACATTTTATTCCTAAAAACCTCAGTGCAAGGAGAGGCCATTTTATAGACAAGATGGGAGAGAAATGGTTAAACAGTAGGTCTGTAATCTCTCTTCTCTTTGAGGGGGCAAGGATGCCCCCAGGAAAGAAATTACACACATGCTAATTATGGACCTCTTGGGAGGTCTGGGAACAAATGAATGGTACTTGCTAGCAAGAGAACCCTTTTAGGGAGAGGTGAGTGACTTAAATAATGCTAACTTATTTTCTCACAGTTCTGAAAGCTAGAAGTCCAAGCTCAAGCTGTCAGCAAGATAATTCTTATTAACAAGAATGCTTATAGCAGGATGTACTGGCTTTGCTAGGATTATGATTAATAACCTGGAACCTATGGATTTATGGGGCATCGTTCCCTAAGAAATGCAGGTGTTTCATGATGAAATGACTTCCTTCTGTGCAAGTACTTAGAAACATCTTATGTTGACCCCAGCTAGAGTGGGTTCTGAAGTAGAAAGAAAATACCTGGAAGCGGCATTGGCCAGCCCAGAGCACTGGCTGCTCCGCCTCTGCCTCAGGACCATTTATATCTCCCATCATTGGCAAAGCTTCATGTTGACTAAGATCACTGATTTGAAAGTGTGATTTGACAACTCAATCTTTTGGGCTTTCCACAAGGAAATTATGTTCAGAGTGGTTAAGTGACTTGCTGAAAGTCACGTGCTAAAAAATGGCCCAATGGGGCCAGAAACCAAGTCTTAAATCAGACGCTCTGTCCCACTGGCACCTGCTAGGGTGATGGAATAACATGAATAACAACAAAACCTGGGTTTTAGAATCAAAAATAGACTTGCCTCCCGGTTCTGCAACTGATCAGCTGTTTGATTTTGGGAGAATTATTTACAACATTCAAAGCCTATTTCCTTCCCTCTGCAGTATCTCTTACCTTAAAAAGAAAAGGTATCTTAGTGATAAATGCAATGGAACAATAGATAAGCATGACACAATACACACATTTCCAAACATTTGTAAAAAATGTAAAAAAAGGCATCGCTTACTTTTTTCTTGTAGTGCCTGCAATTTATTCAGTTCCTCATTCTCTTCGTCACTCTCTTCACTGCTTGTGCTGCTGACATCCAAGACTATGTCCCTCTTGGGGTCTACTCGGAGGAAATTGCGGCATTCAAAAGTCAGGTGACCAGCTAAGTAAAACAAAAAAAAATGTGAATGACAAAATGATAGATACGTTACGTAATTATTGCTTGTTGCCTCTTGGTAAGCAACAAACTGCAATTTTAATAATATAATGTTTAGTTTTAACATTTACTCAGTGGGTAGTGGTTTGCTTTCCCTGAATGCAACACTCAGAGAAATAACTTTTCCTTTCTTTATCAGGGCTTCTAATTCAATAAGCATTTTTTCTGGGTACTGAATCACACTATAGTTTTCCATTTTTTGTAATACCAGAGGGCTGGTTCATGAAATTTGTGCATTGGGGGTGGAAGGGTGGGAGGGGAGAGGGCTTTAGCCTAGCCTGTGTCCTCTCGCAATCTGGGACTCTTCAGGGAATGTCCAACTGCTGGTTTAGGCCCAATCCCTGCAGTCAGACAACCCTCTCACAATCTGGGACCACTTGCCCCCAAATGCCTGCCCTCCCGCCTGCTCAGCGACTGGTTGTTCCACTGTAATGGTCACTTAGGCTTTTATATATATAGACTAGAAGACTGGTGCATGCACACTGAAAGAAAATTAATTAGAAGAAATATTTTAGAGGCCGGGGAGGGACTGCAGAAGATTGGATGGCCAGGGAGGGACTGCAGGAGGTTGGCTCCAGGGCATGTTTGGCCCATCTCACCCAGTCCCGATCAGCCGGACACCAGCAGCAAGCTAACCTACTGGTTGGAGTGTCTACCCCCTCGTGGTCAGTGCACATCACAGTGACTGGTCAAATGGTCTAATGAATGGCTGGACAGTTAGCATATTAGGCTTTTATTATATAGGATATTAAAGAAAATATTCTCATATTTAGGATATTTAAATCCTTTCCCATACCTTTTTCTTCTCAGCTTTACTACTATATTCATGCAATTAAACAACTTTCATAATGAAAGATACCATAATAACCTAATGGAATGTGCTTTTTTGAAAAACAACTAAAATCTAATTCTGACATCATTCACCTCCTAAAGGTTCTTTCTATAAGAAAACTATAGCAGTTTTCTACTTATAGCATGATACAATTTTTAAAAATCAATTATAAATTACAAAACCAGAAAACTACAGGGAATAACATAACCAATACCCAAGTACCAATCACCCACACGTTAACATTTTGTCATATTCACCTAAAATTTTTGTGAGGGAAATACTTGCATGCCTGTGCGCCACACACAAAGTTAGGGAGTGCCCTATCCTTTGGAAGCCTGACTTCAGTTCATCCCATTATCTGTGTCCTCAGTAGTTAATATACTGAAGTTGGTGTCTACCTGAATGAAACAGCATATTGTGTTATTATTTTTTAAAACATAAACTCAAGCCCTGGCTGGTGTAGTTAGGTTGGTTTGAGCATCATCCTGTGCACTGGAAGGCCTGGTTTTGATTTCCGGTCAGGGCACACACCTAGGTCAGGGCACATACCTAGCCGGGCATGTACGGGAGCAACTGATCAATGTTTCTCTCTCTTCCTAACTCTCTAAAATTAGAAAAAAATGTTACAGCTTTCAAAAAGAATAATAAAAACAAAACAAAACACAAACTCAATTTTGCTTACCTATCATTCTGTAACTTGTTTCTGACACTTAATATTACATTTTTTGCTTTATCTGTGTTATCATAAGTAGATGTAATTTTACCTGATGAATGAAGTTCTATTGTATAAAAATATAATTTATTGTATTTTCTGCTACTGACAGAATGTTAGGTTGCTTTCAGTTTTTTGCTATTATAAATAGTTTCCAAACACAGGGCATTTTCAGACCATGCTTTTGATGATTTCTAAATTTAATACACTGTTATGAGAGAATGGGATCCGTATGATATCAGTTCTTTGGTATTTGCTGAGATTTCTTTTGTGTTCTCCATATAGTATATTTATGTATTTTAAAAGAATACACATCAGTATTTGTTGAATATGGTTCTATGTCTATTTTATTGTTCAAATCTTCTGTACCTTATAGTTTTGTCTAATAACTTCTTTCTGAAAGTAGTTACATTTTTAAGTACCTCTATCATAGATTTATCCATATCTTCTTGTGAAAGCTTTTGCTCCACATATTTTGAGATTATATTAGTGAGCAAATTCAAGAACATTATTAATTTATCTTTTTGGTTGACTGTTCTTAAATCTCTCTTTGTCCTTAGTACTGCTCTTGCTTCAAAAGTCTGATATTAAAATTGCTCCACTAGTGTTTTTTGGTTATTATTGTTTAATCATATGAAGTAACAATTTTTATGAGTGAAACAGCTGAATATCAACAAGATTCAACCCAATATCTATCTGTTTGCCCCAGCCCTTTATTTTGAAAATTTCTAAGTAGTTTTTAGTTTTCTACATAGTTTTAATCATAATATGTAGATGGAATTAAATATTTTAATGAAATGTGTTGCCAGACCAATTTTTAATGTTAACTTTTTTAGCTTGGGAAAATAGTTTCTGCCACACTGGGTAGTACCCTCATACAGGGGATCAATGCCTTCCTTATAAAAGGGACTCCAAAGGCATCTTTAGCCCCTCCCCCTAAATGAGGATAAAACAAAAAGCCGGGGACTTGGAGAGGCCTTCACCAAACCATGTTGGCACCCTGACCTTGGACTTGAAGCCTCTGGATCTGTGAGCAATTCATTTATCTGTTTATATGCTGCCTGGCCTGTGGTATTCTGTATAACAGCCCACATGCTTGAGGCAATCCCATACTTTCCGCATGTAAATCTCTGGAAAACAGAGACATCACAGACTGTCTCCATATTTCTGATTCCTCACTATTCAGGTCTGAATCTATCTATCTATCTATCTATCTATCTATCTATCAATAAATATATATATTTATAATCTAAAAATCAACTAAAGCTAAATCTTACTAAGGCCAGCAAGCATCCTACCTGGCAAATCCAATGAGCATTTCTCAGTCTACTTCTTACTGACCTTATCTGTTACACCTGACAATGCCCCACAGTTTCAAAAAGATCTGTTTCTTTGGCTGATGTGAGGCTGCCCTCTCCTTATCCCCCTGGCCGTGTACTTTCCTGCTCACACCTATACATTTTATTCCACATGCTGATATCAGCTCACACCTATACATTTTACTCCACATGCTGATATCGCACTTTCCCCAAGAGTCGGTTGCTGACTGTTTCAAAATCTGCTTATATAACATCATGCAGGCCAAAACATGTAAGTGTGGAAAAAATAATGAGTGGTAATTTCTATGTAACAAAGCTGTACTTTTAGAAAGACTTGATTTAGATGAATTGCTTTTAAAAAGCAATTTTCAAAATAGGCCTTGGCAAAAAGATTGTACAAGATGGGGATTAGGGGGATCTAAAACAATGAAAAAATGGCCTATTTCTCAAAGAGGATGCCATTAGTATTTTAGGCCAAGCAATTCTTCATTGTTTAGGAATGTGCTACACATTGCAGGTTATTTTAGTCCCTGGGCCCGACGTACTAAAATGTCATATTGCTCCCCTCCCCTATGGACAACAATAACTCCAGATTTCTGGAAGGCTTTATCACACAGAGTTGAGAACTAGTGATAGAAGAATTTTGCACTCAGATTTCTTTACAGGTATCTTAACTGTTTTTCTACCTTTGTAGAAACAACAATAAAAGTAGAAAATGCATTTCAGATATGATTTGCACCCAAAATACAGTGTAACACCAATTAGCAGATCCACAGAAAAAAGGTCCCTGACTATATACCAGTAGATTAGGATTTTAAGTTACATAAAATGTTAAGGCTATTCAGGTATGTTTTTATTTCCTGCTTCTGTAATTAAATGCTCAGCTAAAGTCTACAAGGACACTAAGCCTTTGTCCATGGAATACATGTCTCAAATAATGTCTTCCATGAACAAAGGCTTAGTGTCTTTGCAGCTTTTCAATTTTCAGAAACTATCTATTAAAAAAAAACCCACAACTAATTATAGAAATAACTATTCTTCTAAAACTGCTGAAGAAATTCTGCCATGAAAAAAAAAAGATCCATTGTTATTTAGTAGCACATTCATCCTTAACTTGAAAGTTTTAAAAAACAGTGTAACTACTATTGAAATACTGACAAAATATTTTTCTATTTTTAAAAAAAATTTATTTATTCAATTTAGAGACAGAGGAAGGGAGGGAGGAAGATAATAAAGGGGATAAGAGGAACAGAGGGAGGAGGGGAGAGAGAAAAAGAAAAAACTAATCAATTTGTTGTTCCACTCATTTATGCATTCATTGGTTGCTTTTTGTATGTACCCTGACTGGGTATCAAACCTACAACCATGGTGTATGGGGATGATACGCCAACCAACTGAGCTACCCAGGTAAGGCTGAAAATTTTTTAAATCAAATATTAACATTTTTAAAATTATAAAATCAAACCTGTTTTCACAACAATAAAAAGAGAATAATACTCTTTTGTAACTGACTGATGAATATCTACATTTTCAGCTATTAAAAACATTCAAAGGGTTTTGTTGCCTTTCTCTTACCTCCATAAGCAATACAAATGTTCTGGCCTCCATATAACAGAAAATTTTTAAAAATTTAGTTTCTACCAGAAAGATCTGTAAATGCAAAAGACCCTCAACCTCTAACAGCTGTAAGCTGTAAGTTTAACCCAGAGTAAATATTACTAAACTTTCCCACAGGAGACAATTAGAAGTTGTTTAATAACTTAATCACTAAAATCAATGATCTGAAAAATCAAGCAGAACTCAACTTGGAAGACTATCAGCACTATTTCCTTACTAGACTCCTCTAAAAAAAAATTCTGCCCTGGCCAGTGTGGCTCAGTTGATTGGTCATCATCCATGCACCGAGAGGATGCTGGTTGGATCCCAGTAAGGGTGCATGCCCAGGTTGTGAGCTCAATCCCTGGTAGGGGGCAGGTAGGAAGCAGATCAAGCAGATCTCTCTCTCTCTCTCTCTCTCTCTCTCTCTCTCTCTCTCTCTCTCTCTCTCTCTCTCTCTCTCCATGTCTCTGAAAATCAATAAAAATATTGTTTCAAATGTCTAATTACTACAGATGCTTCTATTAATGTCTAAAATAAATAGCAATGAGGAGACTAGAACAACAAATATCCTATTAAAAAAAAAAAGATTTTAATTGTTTCCCTACAGGTTTTAAGTTAAAAGAAGTCCAAGTAGATAAACAGATAGTATACAGACTGGCAATCTATTCTGGATTTGAAATAAATACAATATATTGATATATATAGAGGGTTCTTAAATCTTGAATAAAACAATGAGACATGGAAATTAGCAAGGATTAGAAGTAAAAAAAGTAAATAAATATAAACAAATTTGAACAACAGAAAAGATTTCATTGCACTCATTCTTTATATACAAGTACATTCTTCGAAAGTTTTTATGTATATGAAGAATACGTATACTTATATATCCACTTTGTTAATTGACCAAGCTTCCTTTGATCCAGATTCCAGCCTTTGATTGGAAGCATGTGAGTTGGTTCTCCTAGTGTGCTTTTATTCTGAATCCTTCTGATGAATAATATCAATGACTAGATTGCTTTTTTATCATGTGTTCTTGCATGGAAATCTTTTTTTTTTTAATCACCTTTATTTTGTTAGAAAACAATTTATGACATTAACAACAATCCAGGCTCATTTGCATGGTCTCCAAACATCTTAAAAAACAGCAAATATTATTTCAGCTTTATCAAAGCCTTAGGGATTGCTACATTTAACTAGACAAATAGCTGTTTATAATACATAATGACAAATTCTGAGTATATATAGTAATTACACTTGTTAAAGCTTACTTTTCCATTCCATTAATCATAATAGAGATTAATGGGCCATTTAAATCAAATTTTGACAGTGAGCAGAAATTCTGGGTCCATTTTCACTCTTATAAAGAAGAGTGAGTTCAACAAATAAAAAATGTTTCATCAATTAGTCTGACAGATACATTTCTAAGTCATCTGCAAATGTGCACTAAATAACAGGACTGAAGAACTGTCTGAAGAACTGTCTGTGCGTAAGGCCATGAAATCTGGATGCTAAATCACACTGTCCAATATAGTAGTAATTCACCATATAGAAGGTTATTTTTAATGTACTTACGGTAGCCACATTTTTTACACCCTGCTCGAACACTATCCTTGTTGCAACCTAAAATACAAATGGATAACATTTTAGGAGACATATAAAGTAAAAACATAAAAATTTTTTCATTAAAAAAAATCACTTAAAGAATTTATTTCTAAAAAAAAATAAATAATAATAATAACCTCAACCTAGTTTACTAAGATTACTCCATTATGTTTATTAGGAATTACTGAAAAAGTCAGTTTACTCAAATTACTTCTTTTAACAAATTCTTTAAGAACATATTTTTCTCTAATTCAACAAATGCAGCTCCAACATATGCTGCACTGTGTGTGTTGTGAGCAGTGCCCATACACATCTGGTGTGACAACTTTCCATCTGATTTAATATCATCACCTTCCTACCATTACTTCAAAACAACGCACCAGCTGCAAACTTCAGGTCTTTTAAAGGTATTTATTGCATTTTTATGTATCTTTTAACCAATTAAGATGTGCAAAATGATACCACTATTTTCATCAGGTTCCTATTATTTTTTAATGTATCAGGGATGAGGTTTTTGAGTATTGTGCCCAATCTCATGTTTTTCTCATATATGTTATGGTTCTTATTGCATAGAGTAGGAACACATACGCTGTGCTTGTAGCAGAATTGTGGAATAAAACTGAATTAATAATAAAATCTGAGGCTCTTTCAATATGAAATAATTGCACGTTGAAAAAAAAAAAGCCCAGAGAATCCAAGTCAATATGAAATATGTATCCATAGAAACCATAGATGCTGAAAAAAAAAAAATTAACTCATTTATAACTAAAGATGGGAGGACAGCGTAGCAGGACAAGCACTTCATTCTCGCAGATATGGGAGCTTTGGCATTACAGCAATTTATCACAATGCCTCCATTACAGAGACAAGGCAATGGAGCCTCGGAAAGGGTAAGTCACATGAAGAGAAACACTAAATTCACAAGTACGAGTCTATGACAGGATCAGACATATGATTTAGGAACATTATTTCAGCAGCAATGTGCAGCATAGACTTGAGAGAAAAGAAATGACTTCTGAGTGAGAAGACTGGATGTAGTGTGACTCAGAATTCTTCCATGACTAAGATGCTCTAGTAATGTGTTTTAAGAATTTTACTCATTTTGACACATCAGATGTAACCTTAATTTGGCTACAGAAAACCCTACCTGGCTATGTAGATTTCCCTGAAGGGGAGAAACAGAGTTTTTGTGCCAACCACATCAGTAACATAGATGCCAACTGTGCCAGGTCAACTCTTCCTGGGGAATGGAGACTCATTAAAATGAGTGTCAGGACGAATTTCACGCAATTTGTAGAAGAAAGTAAACTTCACCGAAACCCGTGTTTAAATGTAATTTCTTTAATAACCACTGAGAGCCTATGATTTCCCTTACCAAGAGAGAACGTACTTCATTGTTAGTTACATACTGGGGTAAACTTATACAGAATGCTGTGGAAAAACAGCTGAAGCTGTGATCACAGAATAGGCGAGGCTGATTTTCATTGTGGAAGCAGCCTCGTTACTTTATAGTCATGCCTTGTAATAATCACTGGTTCAACCACCCAGGCCATGCCATGCCGAATCCATAGGATAATTACACCTACAAATAAAAGGCATAACAATACTTGTCCTTCTTGATGATTATCTCAAAATGTTTCTGATGGAGTCCTATTACCTTTAATATGCTATCTGGATCGATCAAAAATTACCTTACCATTTTCTGTGTCTATATTTTCTAATGGCACTTGCATTATCTTTCTGCAGTGCTGTCATGCCTATTACCTTCTTCTTCTTCTTCTTCTTTTTTTTTTTTGGCTGGGTTTAAGCCAAGCATGTCAAACTCAAAGGCTAACTAACACAGGCCACATAAACAAGGTTTAAGTTTATGTGGGCCGCAAAAAAACAAAGCTTCAATTTTCATAGAAACTTAGGTTTATTTTGATAGACATGCTGAATACACAGGGCTTAAATAAATAAGTAATCGTTCACATAAAATAATAGAACATTTTAATAAAAAATATTTTTCTTGAACATAAACTTACCAGACAGTGAATAACTGCACAAATTAGTAAGCGTAACACAAATAAACCTATTTTTCTTGTTCTCCAAAAGCGAGATATTTCCTGTTGCGCACACCAAACAAGTCAGTACAAGAGTAATGACATGGCCATCGGCTGCTAAAATATTCCCTGCTACCCTGAATCCCCGAAAATAAGACAATGTCTTATTTTGCTCCCAAAGATGCGCTAGGTCTTATTTTCAGGGATGTCTTATTTTTCCATGAAGAAGAATATGGTACATATTTATTGTTAAATGAAAATAAAGGAAATTTATTACCTGTATACGGTACGGTAGTACAGTAATTGTCAACACAAACCAGACAAACTGTGGATCCTACAGTATCAAGAATTTACTCATTTATTCAATGACAATTATGTCATCATCTTCTGGAACATTATCATAACAATACAATTCCTGAATTTCCTGGTGAATTTCTTGTGACTCCATTTCTTTCAGAATCAGTGGACTAAATCTTTCATGTTTAGCCTGGGGGAGGAGGCCCCTTATTTTCAGGAGGATGCCCTATATTTCACTCAGAAGGAAACCTGTATGTAGGTCTTATTTTCAGAGGATGTCTTATTTTCGGGGAAACATGGTAGTATTAGTAGAAATGGTGCACCTGTACATAAGGCGTGTAAGGGAAATGAATGCAACACAATTATAGTCATCAGTCATCAGCGAACATTGTTGTTCGTTATTAATAACTACATATAAAAGGATATTGTAAAAATTAAGTTACGAAATGTTTATTAAAACATTTCTTACATATTGTTATATTGGCTGGGCCGCAAAAATATTCATTACGGGCCATGAATTTGACATGCTTGGTTTAAATAGTTTATCTGTCTTACATCTAGCACCATTTAAGATTAATACATTTTAACCTATTATTTTGAATTGAAAGAAAGTTAACATATCTATACCTGTGGTCTAGATTAACGGGAATTTCAATAAGGACTTCAAAAAAAAAAATCTTTCTTAAGCAGTGTATTTTCATTACTAGGTAAGTCTTATGAGGACAGAGACTGTGACTCTGTGTCCCTTAGAGTGCCTATACCATGTAGGTGCTCAAAACATTTGCTTAAGTCACATGTGTCAAACACAAGGCCCGCGGGCCAAATCCGCCCCGCCAGGCCTTGCAATGTGGCCCGCACCACGCTGTCATCACTGCACTCCGCTGCGTTTCCATCACAATGACAGTTTATGACTGTTCAGTAAACCATTCGGCCCGCGATTTAGGCTGTATTTTAGATTTTGGCCCCTTCTCTGATTGAGTTCAACACCCCTAGCTTAAGTGATGACACTGACAGTGACAGCAGGCCGGCTTTGGATGCAGCTCTGTGTGCAGATGCTAGGGCAGACTTGGCCTCTCAGGATGTGCAGATAATCTACCAGGCACACGGGCTTCTCTCTGACAGCCCCTCGCATGCTGATATCCTCAGCTTCAGCTACAGACCTTCCCTTCCCACGCTATACACTCCACCTGAGCAATGGCATCCACGTGCATGGCCTGTTATTACACGTGTGGATGACATTATTGTGGCTCTGGCTTCTTTCTAAGCTATAAATTTTATCACTTATTAGATATTGCCATTCCTATGGCTGATGACACCTCAACAAAGGCTTCATACTGTTTATCATCACACCCCAAAACCTGCTCCTTCTCCAGGGCTATTTTAGTGACTATGTCCTCCCAATTACCTAATAGGGAAACCCAGGTATACCTCATTTCTTCTCTTGCACACCTGCGTTGGTAATTCCCAGTAATTCTACTACCAAAAACATCTCTCTAATTTCTCTGCTTCTCTCCTTTCCTACTGAGACCACGCCTGCAGCATCATCATAACATACCAGAATGACTTCTAACTGGCGACTTTGCCTTCAAAATAGCTCCCCTCCAATCCAATACGCAGTCAGAATGATCTTTCCAAAATGTGCATCTGTTTTAAAACCTTTAAAAGGCTTCCTACCCACCTCAGGAAAACATTCAAACTCTCACTCTTACAAGATCCTTTAAGAGCTCGAAACGACCATGTGATTTACACTGTAACATGGCAAAATGTACAAAGCCCACAGGGTCTCCGGAGCCAGACTGACCTGTCACTTACTAGCTGTCTCAAAACAGGCAAGTTACTTGATTTCTCTGTCCCTCGGTGTCCTCACATGTAAAGTGGAAATGCTAATACCTATTTCACTGTGTGAATGTTAAGAAGAGATGTGTGACACAGTGTCTGACACGTAGCAAAAGCATCCTAAATTCTAGCTGCTGTTATCTCTCTAGTTAATTTCCCACTTCTCTCCCATGTATATTCTGAGCCCCATCCATAGAGAACATCTTTCATTTCCTCCTCTCACACGTTTTCTCTTCTGTGTTCCGTAACCCAGTCCCTCTGACTGCGCTGCCCCTCCCACCACCCCGCCTCTCCTGCACCGCTTCAGGTTTTGTACGATATATTCCACGCCATACACGGGTCTGAGTTTCTGGTGCCCTTTTCAATCTTTACCGCTATCCAGTAAGTTTAGTTTGAATAAGAACTGTCTTGCTCACCATTGTATTCCCAATGCTCAGCAAAGACAGCGCCTAGCACGCACTTAAGAAGAAAAATCAGGTGTACGAATGAGTGTATGTTTCCTCTCTCACAGTTCCCCCTGTGTTCTTCAAACTACAGTAACTTTAACCATAACTTCCCCACAGCAGCTCTGTAAAATAAGGTGCAGGACAAACGCAGTCACACAATACTGGGGAGGGTAGGCTGAAACAAAGTTGTAACTTTTGAACCACATTATTTCTCAGTCTTTTCTACGCTAAAGTGCACTGCCAATCTCCAAGGTCCCCGTGTGTGTGTGTGTGTGTGTGTGTGTGTGTGTGTGTGTGTTGGGGGGTGAGGGGGTGGGGTGAGAAGTAGGGAGAGAGGGGAGCACATTCCTCAAAATATCAGTATCTCCTGCCTGCAGTGTTCCCTAAAAACATCCTGGCAAAACCGGGTTCAGGGAATGCCTCTCCTACCAGGACTTCCAGGTGAGCTTGTGATTGTGGACGGGAAATCTCTGAAGCCCTTACTTCGCAGGGGTACCTGTTTTGGGGTCGCCCCCCACCCCACCCCCTGCACACAGAACCTGGGGGCTGTTGGTAACCACAGACAGAGGTCTGCAGATGCTGAAACGGAGGCCCTTAGGGCGAAGCCACAGAGCCCCTAGGCACCCCAACCAGGAAGAGAACCCCGGCGCCCGCTCCGTCCCGCGCCTTCCACCGCGGACAATGCCTCCGGCTAGGGTGCACCCGGAGCGTCCCACCCCGAGTTTTTATTTTATTTTATTTATTTTATTTTTTTTTTCAAGCCATGTCAGCTCCTGTCGGCCACCCGCCAACCAGGCCTACTGACTGCCCCTCCCGTCCCTCTCCCCTCCCCCCCTCTTTCCCCGGGGCCATCCAATGCACTTGGAGCTTGGCCGGGCGGGGTAGGCAGTTTCTTTCTTTCCTACTTCCCATCGGAGTTTATTTTTTGGAGGGTGAACTTTTTCACGTAAACCGAACGAACCTGCTCCTTGTAAAGCCTCCTTCTGGAGCCCCAATGGGCGCTCCTCCTCACCCTGCGCACCCCAACCTACCCCCCGCTCCCCGCTTCCTTCTTCCCGCTCAAGCCCGGGGGCCTGCTGTTCGCTCCTCACCTGGGACTGCCATGGCGCCGGTGAAAGGGATCGCAGGATCCCCCTAGGCTTCGGAGGCCACGCTCGCTTCCCGCCGCCGGCTGCGAGGACGAGGCGCTGCCCGGGTGGCGTCTTCTTGGCCCCCGGGCGATAGCGCGGGGAGGCCCTCCGAGACTCTGGCCGCGGGGAACCAAGCAGCCGCCGGCGCGGTTTCCGGGGGGATCCTATTGCCGAGCACACGGGCCAAACCATTCCTTCAAGTTGCGGGGGAGCAAGGACACCTGCATACTCATGTAGAAAATGTAAACACCACCAATAATTAGGAATCGTTATTTTAAAAGTTGTAATAGAAATTAAAGTTATCTAGATATGGGCTTAATACTTTTTCCTCTTTCCCTAAAGGATATTAGACTCCCCCTCCTCAGGGTTAGCGGTGCTCTGATCCCGGAGCAACATGGCGGCGTCCGTGAGAGGCTAGCTACGGGCCAAGAGAGGGTTGGGTGTTGTTTTCTTTCCGGATATTGACAGACTGGAGCTCTCCCGCGACCGAACGACCGAAAGGAAGTGTGATAAGTGGATAAGTTTAGGGGACCGGTCACCCGCGGTCCCTCCTCAGTGAGGAGCAGAGTCCTGAGCATTGACCAGCATGAGCAATATCTACATCCAGGAGCCTCCCACCAACGGGAAGGTGAGATCCCCGCCTAGGACACCTGGGTCCCCCGGAGTGATACCTCACCGAGGAAGGGAGTTCTAGGATTGGGAAGGATCCCCAGGTCAGGAGGCTTGCCCTTCCTCCGGCCTCTGATCAGGATGGCATCGGAAAACCATCTGTTGGCACTTCTCAGCATAGGCACACTTTGAAAAAGTCCCCAAGTGGAGATTTCTCCATCGACCAGCCTGTGGTCCTGTTTCCTGCTTCAGCCCAACTCATGCAGGCAGGGGGTCTTAGGTAAAAACCTAAATACATGAACACATTTGACTTATTGTTGTTGTTTTTTTTATCTTTACTCACTTCTCTTTCTCCATTTAGTCTGCAATCATTGAACTAGGCACCTGATACTGTACTAGGTGCTGGGGATACAAAGACGGATGGATAAGGTCTAGTTGTTGCCCAGGACGAGCTTATGGTTTAGTTTGGAGGCAGACAGGTAAAGAAAAATCTTATGACATGTCTGGAAGGCGTGCTTATGAGAGAGGAGCATGTTGCTTATGGAGTACTGAGAAGTGAGCAGCTGGGAAGTTAGGGGAAAGCTTCATGGATGAGGTATATTGCTAGTCTTAAAACATGAGATCATTGTCAGTCACAGGAAGTGGGGCATGGGAAACGTTCCCACATTGGAACGGAAGAATACTTTTCTGATTGATTTGAGCGTCACGGTGTCTCAGTTCTCTTCCAAGGTGTTCATATGCGGTATGAAGTAGAGGAGTCAGTGATGTAATAAATATCACCTGAGTTAATCCAAGACCTAGTCTTTATCATCACATATGAAACATAATGAACTAGCAAAATGTAGAAAACAGGGGGACTGAATTAGGGTGAACTAAGTTTATATCAGATATAATTCTGTTGCATGACTATATCATGATACTCATGCAATCTTTTGCTGATTGACATTTGGTAATATAATGAGGGCAATTTGAAAAGAATAATGGGAGTTTTGTAATTGACAGCCCCAGCAAAAATTTTAGTAGTTATTTTGGGCAAAGCAATTACTTTAATTCTTGGTTGTTTGAACTTTTCTTTACTCTTCACTCTTACCCTATATGATTGTGAAAACCCAGAATAGCTAACTTTTTTTATTTCCAAATGTTTTTTTTTTTCATCCCCAGTTGATAAATACTGGTAGGGATTGATTTCATTGCCTATATTGGTAGGCAGGGTCTTCACACTTGTGGTTCCTTTCTCTAATACTAGTATACTTTTTAGCCTGGGCAAATGTCACTTTCACAGAGGCCTTGCCTATCTACTCTTTTATAAAATATCAAACCTCATTTATGTTCTGCATCCCAGCATTGCTTTGTCCCTTTAACCCCTTTAGTTTTTTTCTATTGTTTACTAGAGGCCCAGTGCACTGATTCATGCATCAGTGGGGTCCCTTGGCCTGGCTTGTGGGGATCTGGCTAAAACCTGCTCTCCAGCATCCCTCGAGGGGTCCTGGATTGTGAGAGGGTGCAGGCCAGGCCGAGGGACCCCACTGGTGCACGAATTTGTGCACTGAGTCTCTAGTATGCATGAAAGATCTTTGGTTAATCTCTTCCTGCCCTTCCCCTTCACCCTTCTCTCTGAGATTCATCAGTCTGTTCCATGTTTCCATGCCTGTGCTTTCCTCTCCTGTATTGAGCATCTGTTCCCTGGTGGTCAGTGCGCGTCATAGCTACCGGCCAGTCGGCCAGTCACTTAGGCTTTTATATAGAGAGATTGTCTCCTCTCTTTACCTTTCTCTTCCCCTACAAAAGCCAAGATAAACATATAAGAATGGTACTTGACACATGGTAGGAAATGTTCAAATATGTACTGAATGAATGGATTAGTTAATATTATTTCTCTCTTCTGATAAATATTCAGCATCAGTGAGTTTGTGGTTATACTGCAGCTTATCAAGGGCAAATTTAGTTGCTTTACTCTGGAGGAAGATTTTATATGGTCATAAAGATGAAAATCTTTAACAAAGGTATTGCCTGAACAGGAGATCTTTCATTCTAAAAGTATTTATTGAACATCTAGCAGCTGCCTGGCTCTATGTTCGGTTTTAGATACAAATGAAAAGAAAAACCACCATTGTCCCTATTATAATGGAATTGGTTGAGTGAAATAAATATTGACCAAATAATCAAGCAAATTTGTGTCTGCAAACAGTGATAAGTATTGTCCTTCTGAACAGAATTGGACTGAGGGAGAATATCAGGCCTGACTCAAGTCTTACTTCAAAAACAATTTTGGACTTTTTTTTTTTTTTCCAGCATAAGGCTGAGTGAAGACATTGAAGTTACTAAGTTCTGTACCAAAGTAGGTACAGAACCTACTTGGAGCCATGGCAGGTGTGGCTCAATTGATTGGACTTTGTCAAAAGTTTGCTAGGTTGATTCCTGGTTAGGACATTTGCCTGAATTGTGAAATCCATCCCCAATAGGAAGTGTGCAGGAGGCAGCCAATCGATGTTTCACCCTCACATCAATGTTTCTCTTTCTTTCTCCCTTCTTCTTCCTCTAAAAATCAATAAAAAAACCTCTTACAAATATTTTTGGTATGGAAAGAATTCAAAGCAGATGTAATAAGTTTGCTCAATAAATGTTTGTGTAGTGTTTATACTCTAATGTTACATTAAGTACTGAAAGGATATAGAGATATTCAGAATAAACGGGACAAAATTCCTCTCTTCAAAGAGTATAATACTTCTCTTAGAAGTAATTGATGCATGATGACACAGAAATGAACTACTTGATAGAAATATCCTTATTCACTGAAGATTAAATTTCCACATACAATTTAATGTAAATTACATATTAACATTTATTCTTAGGTAGCTTTTTACTATCAAAGTATTGTTTCATTTAGAAGCTTTAAGAAAAGGGACCACTGCCTTGGCCAGTGGCCTCCGCACTGAATGGCTGCAAGTTGGATTCCCAGTCAAGGGCACATACCTGGGTTTCAGTTTGTTCCCCAACCTGATTGGGACAAGTGGGAGAGGTGTCCCTCTCACATTGGTGTTTCTCTCCTTCCTCTTCCCTTTCATTCTCTCAAAAGAAAAAAAGGAAAAAAGAAAAGGAAAAAAAAAAAAAAAACACCAATGGAAAAAGTATTCTCATGTGAAGATTAACAAAAAAGAAAGGAAGCTATTGATGGCTGACAAAACATAATAGCCAGTAGGAATGTATGTGTGGCCAAAGGAGGAGGGAGCCACGGGTCTTCTTTTTTAATTCAGTAGCTTATCAGTGAAGGTTAAGAAACCCTGGTAAGCAAGGTGACCCAACCTTACTTTTATGCATTCTTTTTAGGAGATGTAAGTGGTATGTGTCCAAAAAATTTGTATGAAAATAATGACAACAATAATAGCTACCACTTTTTGAGCATTTATTATTTTGTCAGGTGCTGTTCCAAGCAATCTATGTATAATAACTCACTTCATCATCACAACAAAGCTACAAGATTATTCTTATTCTTAGTTTTAGATAAGGAAATTGAGTCACAGGAATGTTAGACATCATGCCTAAGGTAAGGAAGCTACCTTATCCTTTATAAGCACATGGGTCAGTATTTGAATTTGGGCAGCCTGACTCGAGCCTGTAAAAGAATGGCAGTGATGTGCATTTGATTGTTTTTTAGAACAGTAGTTTCTAAACAGTGAGCGCACACTCCCATGAGATACAGGGAAGAAATCTACATATTTCTTTTTGTATTTATTTTGTCCTAGTTTAAATGCCGTATTTAATATATAAAAAAATATATATATATAAGTTCACTTCTTCACCCTAGCCAGTGTGGGTCAGTTTTTGAGCATTGCCCTTTGCACCAAAAGGTTGTGGGTTCTCTCCCCAGTCCCCAGGCATCTGATTGATGATTCTCTCTCATCATTGATGTTTCTATCTCTCTCCCTCTCCTTTCTTCTCTGAAATCAATAATATAATACTATATTTTTAAAATAAAAACTACCATAATATAGATATATCCACCTCTCCCACCCCCATGGTCATTAAAGAATATGTATGAAAGAACTATGAAGCTAATAAAGGCCCAAAAGTATATAATAAATTCATCAATGTCATATAAGTTATGATAATATCTGGGCTTCTGAAACAAATTGAAAGGCAACTGAGCAAAAATACACTGAATGAAGAAGGAATGAGAGAAATGTTATTCCTGCTTTGCTATTAATAAGCTCTCAAACTCTGGGCAATTTACAATTTCTTTGAGGCATTTGTATAATGTATTGGGTGGTGGGGCTTAGCTTAATGACTTCTAAATTCTTTCCAGTTTAAAAAAATTTGTGGAAATTAGTAAAGGAGTTTTAGAAAATAAAAAGTGTGACTTACCTCATTGACACTGACATCCCGTGAGAAATCAGTTTCATGTTTTTAAATACGTACATAGTCACACTGCATACACTTTATTTTAAATGATGGTGCTGGTCACAAATCATTAACCATTGATCATTGATTGATACTGACCCATATTGGTACATTGGGGGAGAAAAAGTGATCCTAGAGAAGTTGGACTCCCACTATGCCACAATAGTCAAATTTAGAGTCTAACCTTTTTGGTTATCCTTTATAAAAATAAAAACATAATATACTAATTAGACCAGACAGCCAAATGTCCTTCCAGACATCCTTCTGAACAAAGCCACGCGGGCTGCAAGGGCCAAGGGCAGGCAGCCATGGCCTCTGGAAGCGGCAGCAGTGGCGGGTTATGGGGGCAGTACTTTCCCCTGATCGCCTGGTCATCTCCTGCAGAGGGAGGCCAGATGGCCTGGGACCGGGCCTGCAATGTCAGTAGGACATCCCCTGAGGGCTCCTGGACTGTGAGAGTGGGCAGGCCAGGCTGAGAGACACCCCCCCCCCCCAGTGCACGAATTTTGTGCATCAGGCCTCTAGCTTATTAATAAAATGGTTAACAGCTATTTCTTCCTATGGGGTCAGTAGGGGTTCTGATTGTTGAAAGATGGCTGGTTGCACCAAGGAATAACTGCCTTTATGAGCTGGTAGAAAGGAGGTTATCAAAAGATTCCATTTACTGTAGATGGTGATTTTCAGGCATAGAATTTTAATTATAACCCAGAATTAGATTAAGACTATTATTCCTTTATAAACATTATCATTTATGAGTTTGAATGAGAAAGTATTTATATGTAAAACAGTAATTGTAAAACTGTCTTACAGTTTCACAATTTCATGTGTTCATTGTTCTTTAATTTCTTAATTTGCTATACCAATTTTATTAGAAGAAATGCTTTGGGAAACTATCTTGATTAAAATAAGTTTAAATTACTTATTTTTAAGTGAATGAACTTTTTTCTTTGATTGAACAAGGTGTATGTTATTTTTCTTAAATCTTAAATAGTTCTGAAAATGGTATTTGAAAACTACAAATGTACAGTGACTTACATGAATAGTTGAAATTTTTATGAGTATAACAATACAAGCCAAGCAAAGTTTCTAATTTTTATTTTAAAACTGAAAACTCATTAGCGAATGCTTCAAAGTTGTTAGGTCATTCAACTGATTATCAAGCAAAATGATAATCTGATATAATGAGGTTCTATTCTTTCAACAGGTTTTGTTGAAAACTACAGCTGGAGATATCGATATAGAGTTGTGGTCAAAAGAAGCACCTAAAGCTTGCAGAAATTTCATTCAGCTTTGTTTGGAAGGTAATCATAATTCTTGAGCTTTATTCTGTAGGATAAATTTTGTAAAAATACACAAACTGCAGTGTGTTTTTCTACAACATTGAAGACTGGTGTTAAATAGTGGTAATGAATGATAAGAGTTAAAAGAAGTGATAAGGTGTTGAACTATGTTTCAGGAAATAGAGGAGATAAAAATTAATAAATAAATCTCTACATCTTTAACAGAGAAATTTACTCACCATATGATGCTTTGATCCTTTTTGGTGTCCGTGGCTATTTTCCATTTCTTTCTTTCATCCTCTAAATATGGGCATTCCCTAAGATTGCCTCTAGTTCTCCATTGCCTTTACTTTTGAGTTGCTACTTCATTCAAATGACTATTAAATATAGAATTCCAGCCATTTCTTCTCATCTTAGTGCTAATTTACGTATCAAATTGCCAAGTGGACTTTTCTCTTCAAATCTTCCAGTGTCAGTTAAAACTAAAATCAGTGTAAAACCAAATTTACCAGGTTCTTCTCCAGTCTGCCGTGACTTTCACCTAATTGTAATTGCCTTTTACTTGGTCTTCCTCCCACTCATCTTTAATATCTTTACCCTCTTCTTTATTCATCTGGTAGTTGAATCTTTAGGCAGCATGGCTTCCTAGCTTTTCAACTTTATTTTTATTGCACTCAATAACCCCATGGTGTTAGTTGATCATCTTTACCTCCTGAAGCAGTTTATTTTCATTCCCACTTTCACACATATCCTCAGACCTCCTTCAGATAAGTTGAGATCGGGCACATTCAGGGTGGTATGACCATAGATGCATACCTGCTTCAAATGTTCAATTTCATCATATCTTCAGTTTTCTATTTGGAATACTTTCTCTTTTTTTCTGCTTAAGTCTACCTTCTTTTTAATGTCTGTTCAAAATTCCACTTTCTCTATGAAGCTTTCCACTTAGCATTCAATGCCTCTAGTATTTTTTTAGATTTGAGTCATAAAGTGACTATTTTTCTTTTTCTGTTTAATCCTCACCCAAGGATATGTTTATTGATTTGAGAGAGAGAGAGCAAGAGAGAGAGAGAGACAGACAGACATTGGTAAGAGAGAAAAACATCAATCAGTTGCCTCCTGTACTCGCCCCAACCAGTGATCAAACTTGCAACCATTTTGGTGCATAGGATGAAACTCCAACCACCTGAGAGATAGGCAGTATTTTTCTTTTTAACAGACTTCACAGAATTATACATTCACTTGAGTGTTTTCCCCTTCAGAATATTTCCTTACAGAACTAAAACATTCCATATATTTTGGTAACTTCTTGGCATTTAGAATACATTGCATATGGATTTGAATATCTCCAGTTACTGTAAGTCATTATGCTAAGTTATATCGGATTTGTAGAGCCAGACAAGGTTAATCAAGGTTCAGAAAACAGCATTTTGAGTCCAGAGCAAGGTGTGAAAGAGAATCCAAAATATCCAATAGGAGGGCACAGTCAAAGCTCTTTCAATAGATAATTAGAACAATAGATAATACCAGGGAAGATCTAAGGAGTAAATATACTCAGACCAAAAAAAGAAAAAAAGAAAGCTGGAAAAAAAAAGTCTGCAAAGGCCATTATTAATAATTGCTATGGCAGGCAGGAAGGAAATTGAGTCAGACACGTAGTTCAGTTAGAGAAGCATCAAATAACTGTCAACAGAGTCAACACAGTAGAAGAGTCAGATTTGTTTCTGGAAAGAAGTTTTGAAGAATCGAAAGCTCAAATTTTACAGTAGAAGAGGGACAGTAGAAAAACATTAGAAAGAATGAATAGTAGATTACAGTCTATGATCAGGCAAATGGAAGAAGCAGGGAACATCTGGATATAATATAACAATGAAGAAGAAAGAAGTTACTTAAGTTATGTAATGATGAAACTTAATTGCAACAATAAGAAATCATTCCTCTGTTTCTAAGAGTATAAGAAGAAAGAATAGAAAAGTAACTAGAGCAGTTATCTTAATTGAACAGATGAGAGATAGAATTATCATTACAAAGAATAACAAGAAGCCCAATTGAAATGAAAATACTTGTAAATGAATAAAGTCAGGGTTTTAAAAATATGATTCAGAGAACCCATTTAAAATTTTTAAAAATATATATTTTTATTGATTTCAGAGAGGAAGGGAAAAGGAGAGAGAAAGAAACATCAATGAGCGAATCATCGATTGGCTGCCTCCTGCACACTGCCTACCGGGGAACGAGCTCACAACCCAGGCATGTGCCCTGACCGTGAATCAAATCCTGACCTCCTGGTTCTTAGGTGGACAGTCTACCACTGAGCCACATCAGCTGGGCTAGAACACCATTTTAATTCTCTGTCCATGTCTATTTATTTATGATTTATTAACAAGTCATCATATTTCTAGATCTTGTAACATTCTTATAGATATATTTTAAAACATGGTTTCCATAATTAAAAATAAGTAAATGAAAACGAGGAAGGGGAAGCATAGCCTCAGCTATGACTCCCAAAGATTTTCACAATTAAAGGGAAGTTTTGAGCTTTTTATTTTTCAAATTTATTGAGATACAGTTGATGAAATTGTATATATTTAGGTTATATGTCATGACTCTTTAAAGGTGTGCAATGTGATGATTTAATATATATACTAGTGAAATGATTACTACAGTCAATTTTAGTAACCTATCCATCATCTCACATAGTTATCTTTCCTTATATTTTTATGATGAGAACACTTGAATTTACTCTCTTAGCAAATTTTAAGTATTCAGTACAGTATTATTAACTGTATTTACCATGCTGTACATTGGATCCCCCAGGCTAATTAATTGTATAACTGAAAATTTGTATCTTCTGACCAACATCCTACCAGTTTCCTCACCCTCATGCCCCCCTCCAGCATCCACCATTCTACTCTCTGGTTCTGTCAGTTTAATTGCTTTAGATACTACATATAAGTTGCTGCCCAGGACCAGCCCAAGGTGCAGGCAAGCCTCGGATGGTGGCTGCCCAGCTGCCCAGGGCCATCCTGAGGCTCAGGTAACCAGGGCTGGCCGAGAATTGCACTGCTGGCAGTGGTAGCAGCAGGGGTATGTTGGAGTGTTGCCTTCCCCTGATCTCCAGGTCGCCTCCTGCCCCTGAGGGCTCCTGGACTTTGAGAAGGGGAGGATGGCCTGAGGGAACTCTCCCCACCAACCCCCCTGTGCATGAATTTTGTGCACTGAGCCTCTAGTTTTATACTAAGTAGGGAAGAAAAGGTTTTGGTTTAGGAACCTACTTAACATTCAGGGAAGGGGGAACCTTATGACACTAGTTGTAGTAATTCTGGTAACTACAGATATGAGGTACACTTTGTTTTAGACTTTAATAAATTATTTTTTATTTCTTTCAGCATATTATGACAAGACCATTTTTCATAGAGTTGTACCTGGTTTTATAGTCCAAGGGGGAGATCCTACTGGCACAGGAACTGGTGGAGAGTCTATCTATGGAGCCCCATTCAAGGTGAGACTTAATTTATTATTACTTATTTGCAGATAAACTTGGGTTTCTTAATTGAAAATAATTATGCCTCACAAGAAGAGAATGTATTTCACATTAGTGCACAAAATCAGGTGTCTATCAGATAATTGGAATTACACAGGTATAATAACAGCACTTACCCTGTCAAGAATTCTAAGTTGTCTTATCACAAACTTTTTTGCTAGATTAAATTCAGGTGGAGAAAACGGTGAGTGAAAAATAGAAAAGCCTGATATAACATATTTCCTGATATTTGCCTATATTTGATTCTGCAACTCTGTAAATGTAAAACATTTTTAGAACATTGCATATGCCATTCCATTTTAAAACATTTTATTTAATACTATATGAACTTTCTATCAATCTGCGTGGACCTTTATAACAAAGTGCCATTGACTGGATGTCTTAAACAACAGCAATTTATTTTCTACAATTTTTGAAGCTAGGAACTCCAAGATCACGATGTGGGTTCCTGGTGAAAGTTCTCTCCCTGGATTGAGAGAGAGAGAACTTGCACAGGCTAGCTCTGTGTCTTTTCTCTTTTTATAAGGGGACCTACTGGATTTGGGCTTCATTCTTATGATCTACTTTAACCCTTAGCATCTCCTTGACAGGCCCTCTGTCAGATACAGTCACATTGGGATTAGAGCTTCAAAACAGGAATTTGGGGGAGCACAATTCAGTCCATAATAGATGTAATTCTAAATTTTATACAATAGATAGAACTCTGTAGCACAAAACGCATGCCGTAACAGGAACTCAGTGGAAAAGAAGAAAGAAGCAACATAAAATTGTTAGCAAAAGAAGTGAATATTAATAAATAGGTCAGTGGTTTGTTAATTACCAACATAGATTAAAAAGAAAAAAGAGTTGATGTTATGCTTAAGACATTAAGAATAACATGGGTTCAGGTAAAAGCTATAAGTTAAATTATTTGTTAATCTGATGGTACCAATAGCATGTTCTTTGAATGAGTAAACTTTAACAACTCTTAAAATATGGGTGTTTTTGAAGACTTTGTGCTTATACAAATGGGACAGAGTACCTGGAGTTTCCTTTAATATTTAATTGAGTCACTGTATGATTCTTGCAAAAAATACTTGAACTATTTTTGTTTGCTTTAATTTCCAGATGATAATATTTTTAGAAAATGTGGAATGGTTATAAAAGTTTCTCATATTTTTATATTTTACCAAATTGAGATAGATATCTTACAGTTTTACAGCCTCGACCTTGTAGGAATCATTTCTGTATTCTATTATTTTGTGAAACAGAATAGCTCTTTTTCACAGTTTATTTCTAAATTGAGATTTTTTGCTAATCATGTTCAGGTAATAAGTTATCTTGGTAAGTTTTCCAAATATGTCATTTTTAATACAGTATGCAGAGTTATGATCCTTTTAATTTAAATCTCTTGAAAATTATTTTTAAAGGGAAAATAAACTCCTTTCTGAAAAGTTTGATTATATAACAACTATATTACAAATGAGTCTAAGAATGGGGCCTGGACAGAAATTCTATTAACTAAGAAACTAATGTTATGTAGCTCGACTATGGCAAGGAAACCACCTTAAAAGGGCTTGCTACTGCCCTTTAAAAAATTTAATTCAGGACTCTAAAAAACACAGTAAAGCACATAACATAATCACAGTAGATTTCTTGAATTAAAAACAAGGAAAAGCAATTGTTTCTGGTTTAGAATAGGTTGGAGGGGGGCAATAGTTGAAGACTCTGTAGTGATCCAAAGGTAATTTTATTGGAGAAAAAACAGAAGGTTCTAAAAACTTAGATGACTTTGAAGGAGGGGAGAATAGGGGAATGACTCTTGGAAATCCATTCCTCATCAAGTACCGTGTCTCTGTAAGTAGGCAGATTTCCACAAAATAGGCTGAATTTGTAGCTGAGTATATTCAGAAGATAGAGGCTACTGGAGTCCAAGTTTAATAGCATTGAAGGAATAGTAAATATTGGATATGATTATACTTGAAAAACAGTTAGGTACAACTTCAGCATTTCTTATTAGAAGCTTTATGGAACCTTGTTGGTTAGCTGAATATAAAGGGCCTTATCACTGAGGTTATTCACTAAATCTTTTCTTTTTATGCTTCAGGATGAATTCCACTCAAGGTTGCGTTTTAATCGGCGAGGACTGGTTGCCATGGCAAATGCTGGTCCTCATGATAATGGCAGCCAGTTTTTTTTTACACTGGGTCGAGCAGATGAACTTAACAATAAGCACACCATCTTTGGAAAGGTTTGTGTCCATTGTATTAGGCTTCTGTGATACATATGATCAACTTACCTATGAGCTGCCTTCATAAATTATTCCCTAGGATATTTATTTCTTTTCAAAAATGATGGACTGTATTCCTGTTATAATGAACTATGAAGTTTTGTGTGTGTGTTTCAAATAAGACATTGGTTGGGACTTTAAACTTTCTTTTTCTAAAATCGTACTAACCGTATTAGCTACTATGCCATTCAGCTGATACTGTTTTTTATGTTTTTTTGCAAGATACCTAGGAAATAAAACTTACTAGCGGTTTAATGTTTATTTTGTTAATGATGAATTCCCATAAGTTTAAAGTGGAAGTTATATAAACATTAAACATGTTTACCTGAAATACTACTTTCAGTAATAACTATTTAATCTTGCACACAATCAACATAATATCAGGGAATGTCATTTCCATAGAATTTTTAACAGTTTCCTTTAAAAAGGTTTCTGAAGGTTTTCTTTTCTCATTCTTCTCCCTTCTCATGAACACTACACTCCTATATGTTTTGTCTTAGGCATGATAGACATCACTAGTGTGTCAGCTCCCTCTACTGGTTCGGTAAGAATGGTTTCTCCATATCCTAGGCAAAGCTGGATGTTGGGAGGATGAAAGGGTGAAAACAAACTTAGCTCAAATATAAAATTGGTATTATTTTAGAACTTGATAAATGTTGAATGAAAGGCGTCCCGCTAAAAACATGCACTATAATATTGTTGCTTAATACTTAACAACGTGGGTTAAGAAGTATGCATTGGCACAGCTGAGCCACTCCGACATAGGTTGCTGATGTTCATATTGTAGATTTTATTTCTACTATTTAAAAAAATAAAAGTGTTTAATAAGATGAGGTTTAGGTTGCCATTCTGCACCGTTGTTTACAGTTGATGTTATATAATCTACACATTCTGAAAGGCCATCACTGTGGGCTCTATAACTTCTTTGAACTTCGGTTTTCTTATCTGGAGAAGGAAGATAATGTTTATAGCTACTTTTAGGATATTTGTGAGGATTAAATGAGAATATCTGCAAAGCAATTACCACATTGTTATTTGCTTGTTCTATCCTATTATAAAGTCTACATTTGTTTCTGATGTTTGAATGAAAAGTTCTCATTCAGTAAGAGGTTATTTGGCATCATTTTAGTTTTTAGTAAAAGTATATAGGAAATTTCATAAAAATTTTATTGAGGGGTTGCACTTCATCTAGGCTTTTTCCTCTTAAGGTGAAGTTGCTTTTTCTGTATTATTTAATGCATATGCTCTTAAATAATAATATGAAATTCCCTTTTAATTATTTAAAATATATTTTCAAAAGTGTTCCCTTATTTCAGATTTACTATCGGGGAAAGGGAGGGAGGAAGAGACTGAACATAAACTGTGCACCTATGGATGAGGACAATGGGGGATGGGGAGGGGTCGGAGGGTGGGGTGGGAACCTGGTGGAGGGGGGAAGAAATGAGGAACCTTTGTAATAATATGAACAATAAAGATTGATTTAAAAAAGAAAAGTGTTCCCTTATTTCAAAGAATGAATGTAATAATTTGCAATTAAATTTTTGTTTTTATTTAATAGATTACAGGGGATACAATATATAACATGCTGCGACTGGCAGAAGTAGACACTGATAATGAAGAAAGACCACTTAATCCACACAGAATAAAAAGTTGTGAGGTAGGAGCATGATTAGTATAAGATATAGCACTTAAATGGTCATAGAAGAAATTTTCAGTAGTCTTTTTAAAAAATAATAATTTATCGGTTGTTTTTTACAGAGAGAGGCAGGGAGAGGGAGAGAGAAACAATCAGTGTGAGAGCCTAACATCGATCGGCTCCTCCAGCGCGCCCCCTACTGGGGTCAAACCCACAACCCTGCCATGTGTTCTCTGACTGGGAACCAAACTGGCAATCTTTTGGCAACCAACTGAGCTACACCAGCCAGGGCTTATCGTTACTATTTTTAAACTATCAGATGAAGTCTTTATACTAAATTAAGCCACAACTCAGATTTTTTCTGTGTAATTTAGGTACATTTTCTTTTTTTTTCTTTTTTTCTTTAATCCTCGCTTGAGGATATTTTTTCCATTGATTTTCAGAAAGAGTAGAAGGGAGAGGGGAGGGGAAAGAGAGGAGAGAGAAAAACATCAATGTAAAAGAGACACATTAATTGGTTGCCTCCTGCATGTGCTCTGACAGGGCCATGGGTCAAACCAACCCAGGTATATGCCCTTGACTGGGAATCATATCCGAGACCATTCAGTGGTGTGTGGATCAGCACTAAACATTGAATAACATGATCAGGGCTAGGAACAATTTCTGATTAAGACTTTTTAAATTCAAAGTTTTGATTTCTAAGATGAAATTTTAGATGATAATCTAATGAATGAACTCAACTCAGAATGGAAAGTTAGAGGAATTAGGTTTATTTAATCCAATGAAGTGACTTCATTGGTAATTTAAGAGTGATCCTTCATTGAGGGAGCCATTGAGGGTGATCTTTAAGAACATTTGATTTGGAGTCAAAATCAGAAGAGACCTGATTTTGTTTTTCATACTATGATATATATTAAGTTTTCTTGAATATTTTTTCCCTTTGTAAAATAAGAATAAGATATCCTTTACTTAATAGCACATAGGATTATTGGGAGATTATATTGAGGCCATGTAAGTGGAAGAGCTTTATGTGGTATATGTTTCACTATACTTATAATGTTTTTGTAAGGAAAAATTGTAGACACTAATGTCAATACAATTAAATATTGTTTTTAATTTTAAAAATGTTTCTTTTCATAGGTTTTATTTAATCCTTTTGATGACATCATTCCAAGGGAAATAAAAAAGCTGAAAAAAGAGAAACCAGAGGAGAAAGTAAAGACATTGAAACCCAAAGGCACAAAGTAATCATAGTAGTTAGATTTTTCTTCAGCTTGAAAAGCAACACTGATTCATTTAGTTCACTTCATTTCCTTTTGTAAACATTGTTTACTAGTGAGAGGAAGGCCAGTTTGGACCAGGGAGATAACTGAATTACCAGTGTGTGTTCTATTCTGCATTAGCATTTCTTGTATTCAGATACAGTATATAACTTAAACTTAAGCTAAAAAAATATTGCCTCAGATGTCCATATAAAATCTGTGTTAATATAAATAAGTAGGGATTACTATAGCAATTACTTATATAAATGAGTTATTGAGAATTGTCCTGTTTTTCACTTGTTTTTCAATTAATATGTGCTCAGTATAAGGAACTTGGAAAGTAAAATATGAAGTATATGACAATGCTTATATAACTTTTCACTCCTTTTTTGGTGTTTATAAATATTAAGTATAATGCTATTTCTGTATTCTAGATATTTCCTTAGAATAGTTTTCAAAAAAATAGAAATTACTTTTTTTAATTTCCAGTATTTTTGTGAACAGTATTCTTTACATTATTAGTCTGTCTTATTAAAATAGATATTTGAGAGTTAGATTTCAGTTGATTCTCTTATTGAATTGTGGCATCCATATTAGAGATTTTATTGTAGTTAAAGTGTTAGGTTCAAACAGTTCTAAATATAATCCTGCCTAGCCCAATAAATAAAAAGCGAATTTTATTAATTTTTTTGGCCTTTAGTTTCCCCATCTTATAAAATGGAGATTATAATAAATAGAACAGCTGGTTGTTATGAAGATTAAATGGGAAGGGGAATTTGAAAATGCCCAGTAATACAGGGATTTAATACATATTCATTTCTTTCCTTAATAACCTATAATATAAGTTAAGTTGTTTTTATAAACTCTCAGATATGAGGCAGACATTTTAATAAGCAATTGATGTCTTATGGCAAAATAACTTTATATAGAGCTATGTATTTAATTTCCTTTTACTTTTTTATTTATTTATTTTGACATTTATCTTTGGGAGAAAGGTCACTCTCACTGTGTTCTGATACAATATTTTTTTTTTCTATAGTTTATCTTCATAACAAGTTCTGAAGTTGGGTGTTTTTTGTTTTGTTTTGTTTTTAATTTATAGTAAATATATTGGGAATTATGTGGTATTCATTGATTGCATCTAGGTTTTGAAATCAAAGTTTCTTTTTTGTTACCAAATCTTTTATTTTTATAATATTTGAGGAAGAGTTTTTTTTTTTTTACTTATTTATTTTTTACTGATTTCAGAGAGGAAAAAAGAGGGAGAGAGAGATAGAAACATCAATGATGAGAATGAGTCATTGATCAGCTTACCTTCTGCACTCTCCCTACTGGGGATGGAGCCTACAACCCAGGCATGTTCCCTTGACTGGAATTGAACCTGGATCTCTTCAGTCTGCAGGCTAATACTATATCCATTGAGCCAAACAAGCTAAGGCTTAAAGAAAAGTTTTAATAACAAATCATTTATTTTTCTTGGGAAATCTTTGGTTTGAAGGCTCAAGGAAGAGATTTATTTTTTTCTCCTCATGGACTTTTATTTGACAATTTTAACTTGTTAATTTTAAAATATTAAGCCATATTTTGACAGTCACTAGATTAATTGCTTCCCATTTGTAGTGCTCTCAGGTCTATATATTTATTAGTTTTTCAGAATTCTCAATTTTGATAACCAGTTTTGACAAATATAAAAAGCTTAATTATTTCTGTCCTGCTTGACTTAGTATATTTAATGGTAGTGCTCAGAATGGATTTTTGGTCATTAGTTTAGTCTAGTATATTAATCATATGTGGTCTGAGGCCAAAACCATAACATTATGCTAAAAATATAGATCATTAGTATATTTCTATTGAATATTAAGTAATATTGTCTACTGTTAAACAGAAAGCATTTCTTCTTATAAGTTATTTTTTTTGGGGGGGACAGGGGCAGAATAGAATATTTATAAGTTTTGTTTAACTTTTTCTTTCTAATTTTTTTTAATTCTTTTTCCCTTTTTTTAATTAGAAATTTTAATTTGCTTTCATTTGGAGAGGAAGCTGAGGAAGAAGAGGTGGAAGTAAATCGAGTTAGTCAGGTAAAACCATAATTTGCCCTTTTTTCTGAATTGTAAAAAAATTAAAGTTCATATCTTACTCATTTTTGTATTTCCTGCTGGACACAGAGCACATTCAGTAAACACTCATGGAACTAATTTGTAAAATTATTATGGTCAGTAATATTTGCATCTTCTGAGAAGATTTTCCCTCTTAAAAAGAACTCATGGACATGGACAGCATGGGGCAGGTGTGGGAGGTGGGAGAAGGTATGGGGGGGATAAATGGTGATGGAAAAAAAGAAAAAAATTGATAGTTTTTTTCAACCTGGAATTTTTTTTTCCAGTCAGTTAGAACTAAAGTTAAAGAACTTTATGATTCAGATTTTAACTGCTATTTGTTTAATGGTTTTGCTAGATGATAATGATTATTGTTAGTATTATAAATAGTGATAGACCAAAAGGTCTTGTATTCATTTAAATATTTATATATATTTATTCATTTTATCAATTCTCATCACAGCCCTTTAAGATAGGTATTATTAATATCCCCATTTTACCCATGATTCTATTAATGTATAGATAGGTTATAATTTGCTCAAAGTCACAAAAGCAGGAAGTTATCAAGAGCTAGGATTTGAAGCTACATCTATCTCACTATAAAATCCATGTCTTTGGATTATATATCACCTCTTGGCCTTTTACCTCAAATACGTCCCATATGCCTTCAAGTACTGTGTTCCTCAGGCTCACCTTCCCCATAGTACTCATTGCTGAAACCCATATAGTGCCCTGCCATTGTTCACATCAGTGATTCTAATAAGTATACTTCAAGAAAATCATCTATTCTAAACTATCATATTTTTACTCCCAAATACTCTGATATGTCTTCTTTTTTGGAAAGTTAGCGAACACTGAGATCTAAGGATTAGGTTCAAAGTCTTTACTGTAGTAATTAAAACTCTATAACCTAACACTGCCTTACTTGCTTAACTTAGTCATCTTTTTCTTACCAACACTAACACTAGCATTGACTTAAAAGCACATTATTGTTTTCCTTGTCTTTACTTCTTTACCCATGTTTTTGCTCCCCTAACCATGGAGCATAGTTTTGGTGGGCTAATATTGAGCACACAGTAAGCACACTACTATACCCCTTGCATTAAAACTGAATTAAAGTGGGCACATATTAGAAATATTTTGGTCATATATATATTTTTCTCACTGACTTCAATATTCTTGAGTAATCTGTTTTCTACTGTGATTCAATTATCACCTTTAAACTAATACTCTGAACATGGAGATAAGACTATATATTTTTTTCTGGGCTCTTCCTCATTCTGAGTGCCTTGAGGAAGTATCTCTACAACAAGGGAGGAGGGGCTTGGGAAGCTGTACTTTTGTTGATTCCCTGCAATTCTTATCAGGGAAACGTAGGAAACACTGCATCAGCAGATCTGAACTGTTTGCTATCCTATATAATAAAAGCCTAATATGCTAATTAGACCAGATGACATCCTTCTGAATGGAGCCAGGGCTGTGAGGGCTGAGGCAGAGGCAGTTTCAGGGGCCGATCTTCTTGCACAATTTTCGTGCATCGGGCTTCTAGTTTTACATAAATGCCTTGTATTTTCCCTTTTGTGTTTGTGTCTTTGTGTTCTCCCTACCTGAAGTGTCCTATCCCACTTCTGGGTATCAAAGTCATATTTATTTTCCAACCTAAAATACCGTCTTTTCTTTTTCTGGTCTAACCTTTGCCTTGTGATCCTTACATTTTCTTTTTAAAAATATTCTTTTTGCTTTATTGTATAAGAACCCTGACTTTGTTCTCATTATATACTACTGAAACATTTCCCCCCCTTTTTTTTTTCTGCCTTATTGTGTGGAGTTCCAGGCCATGAGCTCCTTGGTGGTAAACTTTGTGTCATCTTTGAGTGAGAGTGTGTTGGGGTAAAAATAGCATGGATTTGAGGTCATACAAACTTATGTTGGCACTTCACTTTCCACCAGTACTTGGTGAATTTGGATAACAGTCTCTCTGAGCCTCAATTTTTCTCTTTGTAACATGGAAATAATATGTACCATTTAGAATAGTGAAATTAGGCTATGTATATCCTTATATTGATATATTATACAATCTTGGAAATGTTTTTGAATATTAAATGTCTTAAACAATATACTCTGTTATAATTTGTATTTTATTCTCAGAGAGCTAAAGAATATCAAACAATCTCTAATGTGACCATAACTGTTATGCAGAAGCTGCCACCCTCATGCTCAAGCAATCTAGAGGTTGGGGAGAGACCTCCTCAGCAGTTCAGCTTTCTGGGGTAGGATGCCATATGCGCAGCATAACTAACCTAGTGCCCTTCCAGAGCCCTCCCAGAGGGTCCTTGCCACTAGCCTGAGCAGAGCAGCCTGGAGAGCACAAGTAGACACCTGTACAGCATGACCCAGCCACAGCCTGTTCTCCACATGGAAGTGTGTCTTGGTATGCTGTGCGGAGTCTTTGGCCTACAGAATTTAGCTGTTTTGTCTGTTTATATAATGGAGTCATTATTAAATTCATCTTGAGAAAATAGAACAAAAATTGTTAAATTTATTGACATAGAGGAAAGAAAATTTCTCTACAGTGCATGAGATAAATTTAAAAGAGATTCAAATGAAGTGTATTTGTTTATTTTGCTTTTGAACTATTCTTTACACTATGAGCACCATTCAAAATACATTTTACCTTTTGTGTACAATGAACCCTTAGGGAAAAAAGGGGGGCGGGGAGGCTAGCTTGAATGTTGAATGACTTATAGAATAAATATATTTTAAAATTTAGCCTTACTGTTTTAAAATGTATATAATAATCAGAAACAGAGTCAGGTGTCTTTTACAATGACTAAGAACAATTTGCCATTTCAGTAGTTGCATGAAATTAAATATTTCCAGAGGACTTGAAAATAATTGTTTCATTATTCATTTACTTATCAAGTTTCTTTTTTCAGTGACTCCACAGTGTTAAGCTTTATTCCAGAACCAGTCAAACATCACAACTTAATAATGGGTGAAGTCTGAATTGAGGCTTTCCTTTATGTGAAAGGAGAAATAAGATAGAGTCCCCCTGGTTTATGGATTATCAGTATGGGATTACAGACACCGCTTCACCCCACTCATTTATTCGTGACAAGGTGCCTCTCCCACGTGGGTTCGCTTTCCTTCATTATTTATTTCAGTATCTTTCTACTACCTGATAAAAATCTCTTTTAGAATAATAGAATTTTATAGCTCAAAGGGATCTAGTCCAACTTCCTTTCTTTATAGATGGGGAAACTAAGACTCTGGTTAAGTGACTTTCCAGACTGACTCATTTCCTTTTTGATAGGATTGCATGATAGGGGTGTGCCATAACGACACATCTTGAGTTCAGGAAAGCACATTGTCAGAGTCTCTCATATTCTTGTGGAGGGCGTGAGGAAATGTGATCCGGGAGATAGTACAGTCAGATGGATTTATAGCTGATTGAATACTTCTGCCCAAAGAGTGCTTTGTTGTCAACCTGTGCCTGATTATTTGAACTTGTCAGTTGAAACGTAATAGGAGCACATGTAAATTCTATACTTTAGTTTAATGAAATCAGCTGAACAGGTATAAGACTTAATAGCCTATAAGCCCTGGTTGAATTATTAAGAGAGTAAGGTCTCTGGAATAAGGAATTTAACATTCTTTGCATTTTTTGCTCACATTTGCCGCATTTTGTTCAGTTCTGAACACATTGAAGAAGGATGTTGACAAAGTAGCTGCATCCAGAGGCTTGGCGGGTTATGGGGAGGATGGGGATAATATTATACCAGAACCCATCTCACATAGGGACTGTTTGGGGAATGCGATAGACTTTGGAGAAGTAAAAACTAAGTGAAAATGTGATCCTAGGCTTCACATATTTGAAAGGTTTTTGTCTGGCAGATTCCTCCCTTCCTATTACTGTCTTAAATAATAGCTTTATTCAGTTGTCTGTATTGGTTCAAAGTTTATTCCTAAATCATTGTGTATAATTTAAATTCAAATGTCATAAAATATTTTCAAATGAAAGCTTATAATCAGACAAGAAGTTTTTATGAGGCAAGTTAAATGGTAGATATCATTATAAAAGAATCTTAATAACTAGATTTTTAAAATTGTGATTAAATTTTACCACATTTACAATAATGATGCATATACTATTTCTTTTACTTCAAGATGTTCACATTTTTACTCCAAAAGCAGTTATAAAAAGGTTTGTGTTTTTTTTTTTTTTCTCACCCAGGAAAAGTTGTATTGATGGAGAAATATATTTCAGAAGGGAGGGGAGGTAAAGGAGGAGTAGAAATAGTGTACTATAGCACAGTGCCTGGCACAAAGTATATACTTAATAGTAGGAGTAGTTGCTATTTTATAGTCCTGCTTATATCTTCCCATGACTTGTTTCTCTACTAAAATATAAATTTATTGAGCTCATGAGCTTTGAAAGTAAAGCATTTATTAAGCATTTGGTCACTGATGAATGTTGTCATACTTGAGAGGCTCTTTCCTTCTGTGTTTTCTGCTTGTTGAATGGCATCTTATAGGTGCACTCATGTGGTTGCTTGGGCACATTTAAAAAGCGATTCTGTGCAATGTAAAGAATCTATTAGGAGGATAATAGTGTACATTTATTTCAAGTTACTCATGATTTATCTTCTAAGTTTTACTATCTGGGCTAAATTAATTAGTTTAGCTGTATGTAAATCTTAAGAGGGTTCAGTGTTTGGAAATAGTAATTAATAAACTTATTTTCAAGGATATGTCACCTTTTGAAAGAAAAGATGTTTCTAAAATAATATTCTCAGCCAATTCAGGAAGGTTCTCATTTATAAAGCTTGAGTTTATACTGAAATTTTCAGGAACACATTTCTTTTGCTCACCACTTTTATCGGTACTAGATTTTATGTAAAGTTGTTCACTTGTCCTTTTGGAAGACTCTTTTTTCCTCCCCCACTTATGATTTTACCATGCATTCCTTTCTAGAGCATGAAGGGGAAAAGCAAAAGTAGTCACGACTTGCTTAAGGATGATCCACACCTCAGTTCTGTTCCCGTTGTTGAGAGGTTGGTATGGTGCTATGTGCTTCTAAGTTCTCATTTCCTGGCTAACTAATAGGTACTTTATATCTCCCTTCATGAGTAGACAGTTGTTTCTTATATGTCAAATTTTTTTCAACACGGCCAAAAAGCTACAGCATTTTGACAATGGAGGTAGTAGAGCTTCTAACATGTGGAGAGAAGCACTGTAGTCACTTTCACTCTTCTTGCTATCTACTTCAGTTGAACTCATTAAATTTAAAATTGTTAAACTTTTAAATCTTGGGATAGTTTGAAGACTAGGGAAACTGCTTTAACATTTTTATGTTTAATTCAAAGTTACTTTGCTAACTTTTTCCTTGGAGCATTTTTGTCTCAGTTGTACATTGGGTAAAAAAATCAAAATTGAAAGGTTTTGTGAAAGTCACCACATTTGGGGCCAATCCATTGACTTATTTCTTATATATTAAAGGAGTTAACAGAAAATTATCTTACTATCTTTGTTGCTTCTCTTTGAGAAGGGAAGATATCTTACTGTTACATATAAATGCATGCTAAATATTGGGCCAGTGTCTTAAAGGGGGACTAAAATACTACTATACCAAGTTTAGCTCAGTTTCAAAAATTCTGCTTCAAAACAGTCTTTTCTTAATACCATTGTATTTGTTGTATTGAAGGATTTGATTTCATGAACCATAATATGTCCATCCAATGTAAAAAATATTGTTTTCTGCAGCCTTTTGTTCATAAAAATAGCATTGTTGATTTTTTTTTTTTTTTGCAATTTTCTTTTAATTCTATTGTTTTTGTGTTTGTGCTGATGGCGCATACCTCTTATTCTATTTATTAAAAAAAAATTTTTAGGATGTTTCTACTTACTCTAGAATGCCATTCTGAAATTCCTATGTTGAAATAAGTTTTTAAAGTTTTAATCTAACAAAATATTCTAAATTTTTGGGTTATTGAATAATTTTATTACTTCCATTTTGAAGCTGAAATTTACTTGTTTTTCTTATTTTTATTTTTTTTTGTAGTGAAAAGGATGATGCAGCAGGAGACTTAGATGATGTGAGTATTTTTGTATAAATATAGTTTGAACAATTTACAGAAAATTCAAAATTTTTATTAAAAATTTAATTGTTTTTCTTAAAAGGTTATATACAGGGTTTCCAGAACAAATGTATACACGCTTTAACAACTGATAGCTCAATTGATGTTCCTTACTTTTCAGATGTAATCTATTAGAACTAATAATTATTTAAAATTTGTATATTTTGGGGGGACACAGAATATTACTTTTATAATTATGTATATCAAATTTTGAAAAAATATGAAAGACTTTAAAAATATATGGTATTTTTGCTATTATAGTATTTTCTTCCAAGTGTATGTCTACATTTGTGTGGAATCTTATATATTAATTTCTAGCTTGTTTTTTCTCCCTATGATGTAACATAACTTGAATAATCAAAATTCAGATGTTATTTTATTTTATTATGTTAAAAGTTGAAATGTTGATGCTTAGGTATCTTATATGATGTATTGGGAAATACTTGGATCAGTCCTAGTAGTATTCCTTCTTTATACACACATTTCAGAAGATTCTCTTTCATGATTGTAGTTATCTTTTTAGTTATACTAGCTTAAAGCTGACAAAAGAGAAGGCAGTTTCCTTTATATATAAGAGATCAAGTTTTTCAAGTTATCTATTTGGCACTTTATGTAAAACCCATTGATCTATGCATCATATAATTCAGTAGGAAGTACATAGCTTTCTATGCATAAATACTATTGCCACAGTCAAAAAAGAGGGTTCTTTCTGATTATGGAGGGTAGAGAAAGAATGAATATCTAACCTGTTCAAGAAAATCTTCCTGGAAGAGATGATTGTGTTGTGTCTTATAGAAGAATTAGAAGTTAAGAAGATCAAAAAAGGTGATGAAGATTCCTCTAGCTTGGAGATAGCATATGCTAAAGCCCGGTGACAAGGAGAGATTATATCTTATATAGAAAGCACAGTCTGAGGTTAAAGTTTAAGAAGGAACTGGCCTTATGTAAGGAGTAGGGAGGAAGAGTGTTGAAGGTAGAAGAAACTACATATATAAAAGGCTCTGAAGCAGGAGAGAGTTTGGTATGGAAGACCTCAGTCAGTGGTTATCAACTTTTAGGGCTAAAGAATGTCTTAAAACATCTTACTGAAAATATTCACAATTTCTGTTCCTCAATATTTGTTATGGAAAGACTGGGATAAGGGATAGGATTTTATATTTTTTTAACAAACAATCCAGGTTATGTAGTCTAAGAACCAAACTTTGAGGACCATTGCTCTAAAGGTCTACAACCTCAGGTTAAGAATCTTGCCTCACTATGACTCAGTTGATCAAAGAAACAGAATAGAAAAAGATCCCTTTGAAATATCATTCTTCTTATCCTCCCTTCTTTCCTCCCTCTCTTCCTCCTTCTTTTTCTCTCCACTCTTTTCTCTGTTGATGCTGGGAACTATTCTAGAATTTGAAGATACAGCAGTAGGCAAAATGGTCCAGAATATTAGCTCTCATGGAATGCTTCCTCTAATTATTGGGAGCAAGACAATAAACACATAACTAATTAAATTGCAGGTCAGATGGGTGATAAATTCTTTGCAGGGGGAAGGGGGCAACAGGGAAGGAGAATAGAGTGCTGGAGGTGAGTGGGTGATTCTTCCATTTTAATAGGGTGATCAAAATAAGTGTCACTGAGAGGGTAACATTTGAGAGAGATCTGAGATGAAAGAGCAAGCAATGCAGATAAGTGGAATAAGAATGTTTCAGGCTGGAGAGAATAACAACTCCAAAGTTGGCAGGTGTTGCTGAGGTGGAGCTATGTGACATCATGTCAGGGAGGTATAGATTGAGTAGGGTCTTGAGTGAGTTGGAGATCCACTGAAGGGTTGTGAGAAGAGGAGTAATTGCTGTGACAGATTATAGGAAGAAATCTCAGCTGTCCCATCTCCACCTCTTTACTTGATTCCTGGTTGAGGTCAGCATGCTGGTGATACAGGAGCACAGTTTATTGCACAGAGGGACTGGGTATGAATTGAGCAAACAGCCCTGATTGGGTTATCTCATACTTACATAGTTCACCCAGAGCAGACCTCAGAGGTATTCCCATCTGTAGCAGATTCTTCATTCAGCCTTTGCTAATTCAAAACCCAACAAAAAGAAAAACAAACATTGCTTAAGATGCAATGAGGAGTCTGTAAGTGAAAGGGGAGATGGAATGCCCAGTACATACTCCATTTCATTTTCTACAGGATGAAGAATTTGAGGGTGCAGAGAATGATGAAAGCATTGACAGTGATGAGAAGAACCTGATGAGAGAAAGAATTGCAAAAAAGTTAAAAAAAGACCCAAGTGCAAGTGTTAAATCATCTGGAGAGGGAGAAGGGGAGAAGAAATCAATTAGCCGTAGGTAAGTTGCTAATTGTGCTTCTAGGTATCAGAGTATTTGTTTTTTTATATTTCATTTTAAATTAAGATTGAGTCCTCTGTTCAACTTACTGTTTAAAATACTATTTTCATAATGCTTGATATATGCACTAGTTGTGCTAAATTACCCCATTTGGAAGCCTAAAAGAAAATAGACCACTTTTAAAGTAATTACAGCAATGGATCAAATTCCACTTCATTTTTTTCTGATCTCATCTTCAAAAATCCTCTATACAATTTGTTATATATGAGTAAGAAATATATTAGCTAGATGGGGAAGGTTGTGTTTGTTTAATATCAATGAGAGCAGCAGAATAATTGTGTAGAATGAAAAGAGATGTCTTCAGATTCAGGTGAGTAAAATTTGTCAAAACTGGTTAAAGAAAATGTGTAGGCATAAAAGCATTTTTAAATACCCTTTCTAGTCTGATTTATACCATATACCCCTACTAATCTTAATGGTATTATAGAAGAAATTTCAGCAAATGCCTGATAAAGAGTTGTTGAACTTTGTGACTCAACATTTTATTTCCCTTAAATTCAACTTAATTGAAAAATTCTCCTTTGTGATTCTATTACTATAACTTTATGGCACATGTGTCAAACACAAGGCCCGCGGGCCAAATCCGTCCCGCCAGGCCTTGCAATGTGGCCTGCACCGCGCTGTCATCACTGCACTCCGCTGCGTTTCCATCACAATGACAGTTTATGACTGTTCAGTAAACGATTCGGCCCGCGATTTAGGCTGGATTTTAGATTTTGGCCCCTTCTCTGATTGAGTTCGACACCCCTACAGTTTATGGTATATGTTTTAAGTAATATTGCTTTAAAAAGTAATACTATTTGTTTTCTTTTGATGACTTACATTTGGGGTAAGATAGATATAATTACATATTGGTGTAAAATTGCCTATCCCTTGGCTGAGTCTGAGCTCCTTCAGAAGCTCTTATTTATCTTTATATCCTCTGAGTCATATGCATATAGTAATTGGTCATTAAAGTGTGTGTAATGAATGGATGCAAATGAATGAATACAGTTGTGATTCATTAGAGGAATGGTTTTCACTGTCCTCTGAACATTAGATTCACTAGATTTCACTCCTGACTGGACATTAGATTCATATTAAGTTCACATTGGATGCCTGGCTTCTTCCACAGATTCTGTCATTTTATCTGCAGTGAAGCCTGGGCACATCCTTTTTTTTTTTTTTAAACTTTTTAATTGAAGTATCGTATACATATGGAATATATCTGTATAAATTATATTTCATAGTGCATATATCATAAGCTTATATAGCTTGCTGAATTTTTATAAGCCAGATATACCCATATACCCACCCAGATCAAGAAATAAAACTGCTATTACCTGGAAGTCTCCCTCTTGCTCTATTCTGGTTACTTCCTCCATCATATTCTAATAGTAAACACTTTTCTAACTTCTAAAAATGTACATTAATTTAGGACAATAATTCCTTATAAAAGCGCTCCAAATAGTCTACTATGTACCTCGAATTAGAACCCCAGTCCCCACCAAACACACACTTCCTTGGTTATTTCTGAGGCATAGAATAACATAGAAGTAGATTTTAAAAATTCTAGTGTTACCTCAGATCTTTTTTATAGTCTAACAGGAATAAGACATATCAATTAAAGTGAGTTTTGATCTTTGGGTCAATATAGTGGAAATTAAGTAACTTTAGAAGAAGGAAAATATGATATTTGAGTATCCCTAATGTTTTTAAAAGATGTGTACTGGTAAGGATTTAAATCAGTCTCCTTGAACCTTTTCTATATATTTGGATTACTTGAGAACAGGGGATCAGAACTTTTGCTGTGGGATTATAGACATTTTAAAAAGAACCCAAGTTATTCTTTGTGCACTCTAGATTAATTGAAAGTTGAGGGAAATTGGAGTTTGTATTTGGAAAGTCCTATTTTTTAAAATATTTTTTTCAATCTATTAACTTATTTCATAATTAAGTCCTTATCCTCTCATTGCGCCCCTCACCTCAATTCATGCCCTCAACCCCCTGGTGTCTTATCCCAATAAACTAGAAACACCAATCAGAAAGGATATATGCACCCTTATGTTCATAGTAGCACAATTTACCATAGCTAAGATTTGGAAAGTCCTATTTTAAACTTAGTGAAAAGAATCCTTTTCTTGCCTGTAGGTGGAGCTCAGCTGCTACAAGTTAATCATGTAAACCAAATTAAATTGTCTGCCCTACTTATTTTTTACATCTGAGTATTGATTCATAATAAATGGCTAGTGAGCCTGGCTGGCATGGCTCAGGTGATTGAGCATCAACATATGAACCAAGAGGTCACGGTTTGATTCTTGGTCAAGGCACATGCCTGGATTGTGTGCTGGGCCAGTTGAGGAGAAACATCTCATCATTGATGTTTCTCTCTCTCTCCCTCTCCCTTCTTCTCTGAAAACAATAAGAATATATTTTTTAAAAATAAAATAAATGACCAGTGAAATCAAATGTAGCGAGGGACCAGACAGTCAGAAATCAGTGGTTTGTTGTGATTTTTACAGTCATTATGGAAATTCTCTTTTATTGTATTATTTCTATCATGGGTAATTTTATTGTGATTTCTCTTCTAAATTATTTTCATCAAATTGAAATATAAATCAAAGAAATCTTGACACATACCATCATATCTCAATTATTAAAGATTTGATAGTAATAGTTCAGGGATAATTAGGGTGGTATTAGTTTTAGACTTGAAACAGTTACAGTGGCATGATTCCTTTTTCATAAACCAGCTCTCTTATTTGATAAAGTTAAGTAGAATTTATGTTTTACTCATGAGTTGTATTAGGTTGACTGAATATGAAATATCTTACTGTAATGAAAGCATCAAGAATTTAGATATGAATATTTCAGTTGAGGTTGAAGATCTAATGAGTTGGAGTGAACTTTAAATTATGGAGCATGAGATAATAGTCATAAATACCTCCAGAGGCCTGGGTGAACACCCAGATGACTGTTGCTAATTTTAGTCTCTCATATCTCCATTTGTAAGGATTTCTTAAGGAATTGTGATACCCCTCCGCCCCCTGCCCCTCTTCCCCTCGGTACTTCTAGCCTTCTCTACAACATTAATGACCTATCTCTTTGCTTTTGGGAATTTTTTGAGTTTTAATATATTTTGTGTTCTGGTTTCTCTTACTTAATGATTAGACTTAGGAAGTACAGAGTTGTCTTTGTACATAAACTCTGTTTGCTTTAGCAAATTCAAAAAGATATTACATTTAAATTTCAGAAATTTAAAGATAGTACTCATTTTAGAATGGTAGTAAATATTCTAAAAGAACCAGTAGACACATTCAGTAGGGGGGTGAGGGCTTGTGCTTGAGGGAGGAGGTGACTTGGGAGAGGTCAATGGGGTTGGGGGGGGTGAGGGGGGAGGAAAGAGACTCATGTAATACTTTAAACAATAAAGAATTTTTTAAATTCTAAAAGATTATGATAACAAGAATGGAAATCCACAAACATTCTAACAACCCTATTAAAACCATTGGAATCTTTATCTCCAAGAAGTTCCCCTCTTCATCTCATCAGAACATTTCCAAGGAATGAAATTGAACTGCTAGAGCATTTCTGCTTTCTTTGCCTTCTTTGCCTCAGGTGTACTTAAGCAAACAGTAAAAGGGAGTAAGGAAAAGAAACAACAATCTACATATAGATCATTGGTCTCTGAATAATGAAAATTGCATTAATTATTCCTTTGGTATGGAGTAGTAGTGGTCCACACGTTGTATTTTCATGACATATTTGGGTTTAACAGTAGAGCAGTCCTAATTTTAATCAAACTTGCATTTAGTAGGACTTGGTTTTCAGTTTTTATGTGTTCTTTCCTGTCCAGTCATTCTGTTCTCAAACATATGTTACTCTTGTTGTGAGTCATTGTACAGGAACTGCTGTGTGCCAGACAGTACTAGGCTCCAGGGACATGAAAATAAAAGAGAAAGGGCTTCTGTCTGCAAACTTTCATAATATAGTGTAAGAGTAAGAACTAGTAAACAATTCAAAATGTATGCAAAGAATTATGGAATCTAAGTAGACAATATATATTTCAGGAAAAACTCAAAATACGAGGTTGAATATAAAATTGCCATTTTTGTAGGTCAAGAAAAGTAAAATATCAGCAATTTTGTAAGTTTTACCCCAATGCTAGTAAGATAAACACTTTTTTTGGAGCCACTCTTTAAAAGAAATAACATTTTAGCATTAAATTAAATCCTTTAATGTTGCATAATTTCCAAATATAGATTAATGGTTGATTTATTACTTTTACCTGTTACATGTATAATTTTGGAACAGTGGCTATTATAATATAAACCATACCATCATTTGGCATTTCTGGCAAGCTTTCATTTTCCTTCTGTTTGGATCTTCACAGCAAGAATTTTGGATATTCTGGACAAAACCATGCCTTACGCTGTTTGAAATAAAATACCACTTTAAAAATGTCCAGTTAATTCATTGAGAATCTTAATCCATATCCAAGGAATCACCTTCAAAATAAAACAAAACAAAAAACATTCTTGAATTTCAGTTACTGTGTATGCTTCAGAAATATGACAACCCTACTGTTTTTCCAATTAGATTTTGTAGGGCAGACAGGATGCAGTGAAATGCACATGTGGGGAGATTCTCCTGTCCCAGTGAAAAAGGGTACTTGCATCTCTTTAGAATGTGTTGATTTGTGTTAACCCTTCAGTATAACTTGTTTATAGGGAATGGAATTGTACCTTTGACATGCAGTATTGAGATTATGTGCAGAAAAACATTATTTAAATTTTCAGCATTTGAGGGAGTGTTTTCTCTCTACCCTGTAACATATATAATCACGTTGGAATGTTTTGAAATGTTCATTGCTTTTCTGCCTTCCTAGACTTCCTAATGAGTAAATTCACCTGTAGATTAAATGTGAGGTAAAAGTTGGATAAAATGAAGAAGAGAAGGGC